AGAGCTTCGGAAAGTCCCGGGTCATCTTTTCCAAAAGTCGTTCTGCCTTGGAGAGGAAATTGGGTATCACTCGGTTTGTTGATCTTGATTACCCGCAAGATTGAGGCAGTACCATTGGATTCGTTTTCAATAAGATCCTTTGTAGGTACAACCATGAATTCTTTTCTCCACATGAATTCTGGGTGAATGGCATAGCCAAGGAATAAACCAGGGCTCGATGTTGGGTCGAAACGAAGTCCCTCTTTGTTCTTCTTTCTCGGACCATTCCAATAGTCGATAAGACAACCAAAAGGAATGAGGGGACCATCAAACCTCGATCCAAAACGCAATTCCCATGGTGATTTGTCTCCCCCCGTTGCAATGACATTCTGCATGAAGCACCAATGTCGGGCAGCATGTGGCCAGTGCCAATGATTCAGACCTGCTTGGAGCAGATTGACACGAGTGCCTTCGAGGACTGACCGGACTGCTCTCTCGGCTTGCGCGTTGGACTTGGATATGTAGTCTCTACTTAAAACATGACGGCACTGAAGGATCTTCATTGCTGAGATCAACTCGGGTGCATTGTCACTGTAGAAAACTCCTATCTTATCTTCATGTCCAACAAAGTGTTTAATTGCCAAAATAGCAGCATTGGTGGTTCGTCTGGCATTGGGGTAGACATACACAAATCCTGTTGCTATGTCTTTCACTACGAGTGCACTTTTCTCATCATCGATTCCCAATTCATCTTCATATCTGGTGACAATAAAATCAGCAGTGATGTGGTCACCAAATTTCTCAGCTTTAACCTTGGTTGATCCGCCTACAGCTCTTGAGGGTGGCTTGAACATCTTAGCTCTGGTACATATATCGCAAAAGGGGTTCTTCGGGATGTGAGTCAGCATATGTCGAATGGACTTAGCTTCCTCTTTCAATTCTTTCTCCCCAAGTGACCTTTTGTGAGCACCATCATCATGGACATTACTACTGCTACCCTTGGATCCTTCCATAGGCGGCTCAACCTCCCGGTCGGCATCAGGAACATCAACCTCCTCAGCCTGCAAGGGCTGGGGCTCCGGTAAATCAACATTGATACCCATGGGGTCATCACCAATGATTTCAATGTCCCCATCGGGCTCCGGAGATTGTTGAGCTTCATCTGATGCCGGGGTGGCAATACTTGGTCTAGGCTGAGTTGATGGAGTGGAAATCGTCTTTGAATTGTTTGCAAAGTAGGGTACATAATCTCTGACAACTAACTCAATGCGTTCCCCATTTGGTTTGACCATGTAAGGAGGTTCACCTTTGGATCCTCTCCATATGAAGTCGTAACCATCATCAATGCATCTCATCCCGACTGAAATGACAGGAGGCGAGCTTCGAACAAGATATGGGTCAATGGTCTTGCCTAACTTCGGAACGAATACTTTCCCTTGTTTCGACGATGAACTTTCGCCATTGGCGGTAATCATACGAATGGGATTGTTGGAGTAGTATCCATAGTCATCTGGCAACTCACTATCATTGACAAGATCTTGTGCACTCCCCGTATCTGCTATCCAGTCAAGTTCGAGGTTGATCGCTCCCTTCACGTCTTCTCTACATTCCGCAGGGGTGGCTTTGATTCCCTTTGGGATACATTCATTGCAACCAAAATCTGTGTCACATAAATAGGCACATTTGCATTCAACTCCCCGAAGACAATTGGAAACAGATCCAGCTAACATGGTACCGGTCAAAGCGGCATCATCTACAGCAAGTTGATCAACTTCAAACTGATGTCCCCATGGAAAGGTAACCTTATCCTTGGTGACTGCGTTTCCAATTGGCCTCAAGTTCCCTCGGACTTTCACATGAGATACGTCCGGTGAATCATCAAAACGAATCGATGGACAAACTACTCTTGGCTGAGGGATACAAAATGCCTGAGACACGGATGCAAGCATGGATGCAACAAGACAAACTGCGGCAGGAGACGGCTTAGATGAACTGGCCCCGGATCCTTTAGACTTCGGGGACTTCGGGCTCTTGGGGCTCTTAGAGCGGCTAGAGCTTCGGGATCCCTTCCTTTTCGGGTTCTTAGGGTTTCTCTTTTTATTTTTGCTTTCGCTACTGGCCGAACGGGCAGGAGTAGCTTGTCTTGGTTTTCCCACTGAACCCTCATGAAGGAATTTGCAATCAGCCCCTCTATCACAACGTCCCTGTCTCCAAAACTTGCAAATTTTCTTACCTTTCCCCTTTGGCTTGGGAGAACCAGAACGTTCAGTAGAGCGACCTCTGGTTTTGCTGGGTTTGCGACTTCTGTCACGTGGCTTGGGGACTTCATGCTTGTATGTACAGTTGTCCTTGCTACAGCCTCCCTTATTCCATGCCACACAATACCCCTTGGGGATGAATCCTGTCTTGCCCTCGACTGCGGGAGCGGAGGGACGACCGGAACCCGAAAGACCTTTGGCAACTCGATCACGATTTGCCTCCAACCTCTCACGGTCAAGGTGGCGTCGCACGGCAGAAACAAGGAAACTGTAGTTTCGTTTCTCGGTTCCTTCATCAGCTCTATGATACTCATTCATGTCATGTTGGATGGCTTTGCAATTCTTCACTTGTTTGTAGAAGAGTGTCTCCAATACACTTACATCAGGAGTCTGTACGATAACAGCCAACACTTGATCCCAGTTCGAGATGAAAGACTTCAAATTCTCCCCGCGCAATTGGACACTGAACAAATCTTGGAGGGCATAGGTTGCTCCGTGCTTGATGTTGGTACTGAAGTGGTCATGCAACATGAACAACACTTGTCTCCCTCTTACAATCCGTCCAGCAGTGGCTTCCGTCTCTTTGAAGGTATCTACCTTACGGGCGAAGTCACCAGTGATGATGTTTGTGAGTGCAGAAAGTAACTTTGCATCAAGTGTCGCAAACGGCGCAACCTTCCGGAGCGCTTCAAGAGTCTGTTCTTCTTTCCAAGAATCACTAACCCACTTGAAAGCACTGTCGGGATCGGTTGATGCTGCTACAACTGCTTCTCTGGTCTTAATTCTCCAATTGCGATAGGTTTCTGCCAATGGGAATGCTGGGATTTTGATGGTGTCAGCTTCCTTGACTTTGGGTTTGTCATCATGCCTTGGATCAATGTAACCACCAAGAAATTTGATCATTCTTCGCCTGAACTTCTCATCATCATCATCATCATCATCATCATCATCATCGGGGTCTTCGTAACCATCATCACCGCCGTCAAGAGGATTAGGACCAGCCCTATTCTTTCTGGGCACCTTACGGTTCTTATCCCCTTCAGGTTTATCGATTGGATCAGGTGGTGATGGTGGCCCACTTCCCCCATTTCCTCCGTTGCCATCTCCTCCATCCCCTGGATCGTCCCCGTCAGGTGCATCATCGCCCCCCGGCTCGAAGTACTCCATATCTTCGGGGCCTAGTTCGGTCGGGGTATACAGATTGGTCGGTGCAGGGGAATTGATCTTATCTGCGGGATGGTTATCACGGCGTCGAGTGGTGGCCTCTCCTCCCGAAGGGCGTTCATCCATGGACGACCTTGCAATGTCCGATTCCTTCTTCACATGAACTGGAGCTTGATATGATGGATCATGATAAATGATTTCAATACCATCCTTTTCATAAGTCTCAGTACCAGGTGAAGTAAAGTTAATCGGTGTTCTTGGAATAGGAGGTCGGGCAACACTCGTCGGAGGTGCTGCGGGTGCAGCCTTGCGGGTCGGTGGAACAAACTCAAAACTTGGGATCTCCGCTGATGCATGAGTTCCGGCTGTGATGGTCATGGCGGCAGTTTCAACGATCGGGCTTGGACGAACCTGAGCAAATTGGGAATCGAGCATGCTTTGCAGTTTCAGATTATGTTGCATCTGGGCTTGTACCATGTGTTCAAGCTGTGTGATGCGCTCATTCTGAACCCTTCTCTCTTCCTCAGCTGCTCTTTTCAACTCAAGGATCTCTTGCTCCTTACTTGACAGTGATTGTCGATGGTTAGCATCAATGACACGTTGATATGCCTGAATTTTCTCATTCATCTGAGCTTCACGGAACCTTACATGTTCATGCGCCTCATGCTGTAAGTTCTCTTTATATTGGGCACCCGCATTTAAAAGTTCTTGTTCTTTGATTCTGATAGCATCAAGGGCCCTCTGACTTTCAATGCCCTCGCGGACTCGCAAAGCTTCCTTCAACTCCTCAGTCTTGGCCGTGTGGACAGCTTCGGCCTGAGCTTCGGTATGAGCCAACACCTCACGATGACGGAGCTCGGCCGCTGTTTCCACAAGGCTTGTCATTGCAGGATCATGTGAATGAACATGCAAGTTCTGCTCGACAAAATTCACTTGAGGATTATCCATTTGCACATTGTGATGAAATGTGTTGTGAACATTCATTTGGTTCAACTGGCGAGTCGGCGGCCCACCCTCCCGAGCGGCTTGGGGAACATAACCACGGTGGTTGAAACCCACATGGGAAGGCACAATTGCGTTACCCATAGGTGGGAGGCGGCGACGTTCCCTTAGGCTTCGTGACTTATCGGAAGATGGTGGGGTGCTTATATCAAAATTAAATGGGGTGTTACTTATAGGCAAGTTACCCGGGTTGGCCATGGCGGCGTCAGAGGACATGCGCCCGGTGCCCTCGGTGGAAGAACCCGAGGGGGCAGACATTGCCTACAAAAGAGAGACTAGCTTACGGCTGATAACCTGTTTGACAGGCTAACAAGCCACAAAACAACAGCAGTTACGCGCTTGTTTCTTGAGCCATAAGCACGACATAGTATAGGTGAGAATGGTAAGTATATACAGTGATACATGTGAAAAACAGAAACTTTTAGCTGTGTTCGTGGCATTTTGTTGTACTGTTCGCTAAAAAAGAAAAAGCATACTCACCTCAGATTTTGTTGTAATTCAGTTTGAAAGTACAATCCATGTTCCTATCCCCTCGAAGTTATAAAAAAAAATGTGTTTTTTGTCCCCAGCTGCGCAACATGACATCCGCCGAGCAGCATAGGAGCCACCGGCCATTTCGCCTTCAGCTGCAGCACCTTCATCAGGCTCTGGCGGAGACGCTTCAGTTTTGTCCAAAAGAACTGGGAACATGTGAAAAATGTGAAAAGAAAAATCGGAAAAACATTGAAACTGGGAGCTCTTTAAGATAGCTGCTGATAGCTTTTTCAGATGCACTGGGGACAAATTGACTCCTTTTTCGACTGCACCTGGTGGCTCCGGCATCTTCTTCTCCGACAGAGGAGTGGCCTGCAAGCTGCATCGCCGTGGCCTGGGATGTTGTGTGAAAAATCCTCTGATCTTCGGTGCACACGATAGGGTCACCACCGGTCACAGAGTCTGCGGAAATGAGGCAGACACCGTGTCGCTGCGGTGCAGAACAAAGCTGCACCTGAAAATGCGGTGCTACTGTGCTACTCAGGTCATTCTGTGAATTTGCTTGGGAAAACTTTCAATGGCTCCGGTACATTCTTTGGTATACTTGGTTGAATGGGGAATAGGTCTTGCAAACCCTGGTCTTAGAGTTGGTAAGTTGGTCATTGTTTGTTGGATTGAAAAGTAAATTTGAACGACTTTGACCTGTCAGTTGGAAAGCCAATGGTTTGTTTTTTCGTTTTTTCTATAGCTCCGGTTGACCCTGACACACGAGAGCATCGTCGACACATTTCCAGCTTCAGCATCCCACCTGCGCATCTAATCCGCTGCGCATTTGGCGCATTTGGGGGCCTCGAGAAACCACTCCATTTGTATCCATTTGTTGCATTTAAAGATGTTTTCATCAAGTGTTGTCACAACCGGCCTCACACAGTTGGAGATGTGAGTGTCTCCCAGCTGGAGATTGGCAGGCCGCCAATGGGAAACCAGTGCCACTTCTGGTCCAAGGGCAAACATTGCGGCAGGAACTAACTGGCAAATTGATGCAAATTGATGCAAATTGATGCAAATTGTTTGAATGCTGTGATCAAGCTGAGTTGGCAGTTGATATGGTTCAAACACACGTCGGCAATGAAATGATCATCGTTTAAAATGGATACACGTGGCAAATGACAAAAACCTTGCCGATCCTGAATCTGATATGAGGGGTATGCTGGCACCGCCAGTCAGGCTGGCATTGCCTTCCATGTTTTTTGTAGTTGGCAAAGGGCTGCAAATGGAACAGATTCAGGGAAACACAATTCGACCTTGTCGATCTACGAAGCCAACAGAAAGTAAGAGGCCAAATTTTCCCTTACTTGAATCATCTTGAATTCAGGGGAAATGAATCATAATAAATCAATGTCTGTGCCATGGGGCCATGATATTACAGGATCATCCAACCTTTTCCAAGTTCCAGCTCGAAGCCTCGAAGCTCTCACTCAATAAGCAATGCATGTTGCCTGGCCGGTACGGTCAATGCAATCCTCGATGTTCCTTGCGATTTCATGAGGACCTCAAACCATTCCCAAGTGATTCTACTTTTGGGCGACCAGTCGCTTGTGGCACAAGGAAACCAATATATTTCTCTCTCCTTCGGATTCCGTTTGCCCTCATCTGATGACACAGCCCTTTGACATTTAGTCCTTGTGTGACTTCTCGAAAAGAAATGCTCGGCCACACTAGAACCTGATATCCTTGAAAATTCTCCCTGATCTGTGGAAAATCCAAAAATTTCTATCTCTGAATCCATCTGAATCCATCTGAATCCGTCGTGTGTTTCTGGAGCGTGCTCGGCGCCTGTCATCGGCCAGTTGGAACAGCATCAAGTCCTGGAGGATGCTCTTGAGGTCAGCTGCCAAGTCATCCCACTTGCTGCGCTTCAGAGCCCAAACCTGGCACCACAAAACCACTGAACGAAAAAAACAACTGTGTGGTTTTGCCTGGTATTTTGATAGGTACTTTGATAGTTATTTTAAGTCGTCCATGAAACTCTCTTTGAGATTCTTTGCAAGTTGAGTCAAACCAGAAGGAAACGAAGTGCGAGCTTGGAGCCTTTGCACGTTGGGTGACACGATGTGACAAGTAGGATGGACCGTAGGTGTGACCTTTCACTGCGGCTAGGCCCACGGCCCGCCTCTGCGTAGCCCGACACTCGAGAAGACACCTGCCAGTGTGTTGAAAACATGTTCGCAACATGTTCAAACACCGTCAAACTGCTAGCGGTTTCAAACGGCTACGGCTACTGCTTCGTTCAACACCAGCTGGGCCCGGCGCTTGATGCATGGGCAGAACTTTGCTGTCCACTAAGCCTTCTTTGCCGACAAAGAATGCTGTCTTCCCAACCACCTCAAGAAATCCACAGGATCTGCAGTGATTTACCTCCTAAGTCATCGGAAGCTATCGAAGAAGCCACGAAATGATGGGAAATCAAAGAAAATCAGACGATTCAGAGATGGATTCAGAGATGGATTCAGAGATGGATTCAGAGATGGATTCAGAGATGCGGAGCCGGATGCGGGGCCGTCAGATCCGTCAGGTCCGTCAGGTCCGTCAGGTCCGTCAGGTCCCGAGCTTCCAACGTGTCCAGGTGTGAAGCGCGCGCGAAGACGCTTTCGGCCTCGGCCTGTGAAGCCTTTGACCTTGAAACGCACAGCAGAAAAAATGAAGACATGTGAAAAACATGTGAAAAACATGTGAAAAACATGTCATCTACAAAACACGTTCCAACACGTTGCATTGTCGTTTAGCCTTTGTTGCAATTCTGGACAATGCTTTTCGACTTGACAATTCTGGACACATTGCAAATCGGGAGGTCATTCCTCTAGGTTTTTGCACATCACCGCTCCAAACTCCCAAACTGTCCCAAGGTGTGGCCTCTGCGTTGAGCATGCCGCTGCGGGCAACGATCACATCCTCTTCGGTGGCCTCCTCCAGCTGGGCGATGGCACCTGGTCGACTGGATGACTTCCAGAGATTTCACACATTTTAAGGCACCGAAGGCACCGAAGCCGCACCGAAGGCACCGCACCTCTGAAGATGAAGTATAAGGTGAATTCCTCGTTCTGCAAGCTCCTCAGAACATCCCGATTCGAAATGAGAAACATGCAGAATTCCACGGCAGTCACTAGTCAAAGGTGCTTCCAAGGATCTGATAGTGTGGTAAATGATCAATGACCTCAAAATCGTTCGAATCATACCGGTTCGAGAGAGCGATGACAGCTATACTACAAAATGTCGGGTTTCATGATTGCACGGGACAGAAGCACAAGTGCGAGAGATTTAGAAAGTGCAAAAGCTGTTCAACCCAAAAGCGTCGCGCACGAGATTGGTTCCAGCCTCGCAGTGCGGTTTCAAGCGAGCCAAAGTTCCGCGAGGAATGAAGTTCATATCCTCAAATTCAGCCTAGGCTCAGAAACGCCAACTTTTCGATTCGTGGAGAGAAGTGCCTTTGACGTCCTTGTAGAAGGATAGTATCTTTATTCTGGACAAAAGATTTTGCTCAGAACGTCCTTGGTGTCTTTGTTCTTGCCACCAGCTGAGTGTTTTCAGCCGAGTCACTTCACCCAGTCGCTGTCCTGCCTTGCAGGCGAGGCGATAGGCCTAGCCGGAGAAAAAGGATGCACATGATGCTGATGATGCGTCTTGCAAATAAATATCCTTATATTATAATTAATATATATATATATATGGCAACTGAAACTGCATTTTTCCATCCGATGGTGATTATGGTTTGTCGACTGGTTATGGGCATGACTTTCGTTCCATGCTATCTGTAAGTGGTTGTCGTTGATCAAAGTGACACGACATGTTCGTTCCAACTCGTGTTTTGTTTGAGCAATTTCGCAGTTGAGAGGACAAAATAATCAAAACTAAAGGTCCACCTGCTTCATGACAAGTTTCTTTCCAGCCTTCAAGTTGTTATATAGGTTCGGTCAAAGCTTCGTGATTTCAGAATATTTCAGACACATAATCAATACATGGTAAGTATCGTCCATTCCTCCTGGGATCCCCTGGGTTCTTTCATGCTGTTGCACTTTCTGATCTGGGGCTCTTTGAGTCTCCAAGACCTTGTGGACTATGATGGACTATGGATTCGGGGGTGAGGCGAGCCTTTTTGTAGCCCTCCACATCGCTCTGCTGATAGTAGTGCTCCTTGACAAACCAAGAAAACATGGAACCCCGGAAAACCTCCATGTCAAGTGCTCTACCTATCTCAACTGTCTCAACACTTGGGTCCTCCAAAAGAAGGTCGTTGCAATAGTCCAAAGCATCTGATTCTGTGTCAAAGGCATCCTCAGTGGGATTCTCTTCAAGTCTCTGATGCCAGTTCCAAAAGCATCAACCCTCCAAGGGCCAAACAAACTTCCCGCTTCCCAGCGGGAGGAATGCGCACGTCAGTCGTCGCCCCACACGTTCGAACCTGCAACGCTGGTAAATTCTTCATCAAGTCAGGACGTCCTTTGAGCTGAGAAACTGGAACAAAAATCTCACCAATTTTCGGCTCTCAAATGAATTTGGATGAAAATGTCTGAAAATGTCCAGCATATTGTTCATTGACGTTTTCTGGATGGATCTGGATGGTCAGATTTCACTAAGTCTGCAGCTTTGGCGATGAGATGGAGGTTAGGCCACTGGAGCTTTCTGCATCAGTGGCCTCGTACAAGATGTCCTTGCGCAACCGGAGAAGGTCAAGGAGAATGTCACGGCAAAGGTTGCGACGTGGTTTTTCATACAATAAAACTGTCACACACATCAGATATCAGATAAGAATGATGAGAAATGACAGAAAATCTGGGATTATTGTTACAATACAGAGCATTGATGGGACATGCAGGTACCTACAGCACGTGTCAATATTGGAAGAGACGGACCACTTCCAAGCAAGGGGGGACCAGGTGGGCATCCACCAGTTGCACACTTTGGATCACTTTGGATCACTTTGGGTCATGTGGAGTCATTTTTCTCCCCAAATGTGAGCCATGTCGGGCCATGTCCTGTTTCAAATCATGAAGATCTCCAACGTCCACGCCGCTGTCTTTCAGCACCTTCCGTGGAGGTCATGGCAGACATGGCGTGACGGTTGTGACGGTCGGCCGTGACGGTCGGCACGGTCGGCCGTGAGTCATCCCCAGCCTTACGGAGTGCAGGGTCTGGGGATTTCACAGCACCTGCTGTGACCAGTTCCTGTCACTGAGACTTTCCACATCTTTCCACTTTCCATCACTTTCCATCACTTTCCATCACTTTCCATCACTTTCCATCACTTTCCATCACTTTCCATCACTTTCCATCACTTTCCATCACTTTCCATCACTTTCCATCACTTTCCACTAGCTGCAACTAGCTCTACTTAGACTCTAGTAGACTCTACTTAGTGGAGAAAGTGGATGAAAGGATGAAAGTGGAAAGTTGGAAAGTGGATAGCTGAAAGGCCACAGAATATTCGGCTCGTCACTGCTTTGCAAAGCCAAAAGATTTCAGACCCTGTGTCACTATTCCTCACATTTTCTGATCACCCTGATCACTCTGATTCTCTCTCGGACTAAATCGAACATGGTTATAGGTACCTGTTCAAATGAAAAACAGAACGTCTCGAATGTCTCGAATCTAGTATTTTAGCAGTATTTTAGCAGTATTTCAGTATTACAATTGTATTTTGTGCTTGCCAAAACACAGCTGTAACTCAGTTCTACATCCTCAACATCCTCAACGTCTCTCTGTCCTGGAAGATGCTGCCGGACATCCGACAGAAGAAGACCTGCACGCCGCTCCGAGCGGCTTTGTCCACGGAGGTCTTCACCTGCTTCGCCTCGACGAAAATATCCACGGATTTCCGAAAGCAACACTGACAATTACTGTATATTATGCCATATTATGCCTAACACTAGTAGTCACTAGAACATATACTGACATGTTATACTGACAGTTTCACTAACAGTTACACTAATTATCACTAATTGCAATAGTTACACAAACAGTCAGTACATGCTAAAGATGGTTCCAAAGATGTTGTGTAGGACACGGTTTGAATGGAGACAGCTCGTGGCTAAACTTGGCTCTTCGACTTCAACTGACTTAAACAGCTCGTGTCTGTGCTTCCCACAGCGGTTGCATCGATGTCGATGACCCTTGCGAAGCTCAGGATGCAATATTTCAGTCGTCCCTGCACAGCAAGAAAAGCACCAAACTCGCACAGTGACCGTAAAAGAAAGATTCGTGAGGAAAGAAAATTCGCACAAGAAATCGGAAAGCGAATTTGTAAAATTTGAATCGAAAATTCCGATTTTACAAAATTTTGGAAAATCGGAAAGCGAAAGAAAAAAACAAATTTCGCAAAATACCACACTTGCTTATCACATCTTATCACCATGACCTTCGCAAGATTCACAAAACTGTGGTGATAGCTGACAGCCTCAAAATACTTCTCTACAGTCACAGTCATCACATGAGCGGTGTTCAAAACTTCAATTAAAACTGAATGGAAATTATTCATCCTTGCGCGAAATCCTTGCGCCATCCTTGCGCGACCACAATGGGAGCTTGCGCGCGGTCAATTTTTCAAACGGAGCTTGCGCGACCTTGCGCGAAGATGAAATCCTGAGTTTCCGTGCACTTTTGCTTGCGCGATGTAGGCGCGAAGCTGTTTTCGGACTTGGTTTTCTAGGCTTCTCAGATTCTCGGCTTACGTGATTTCGGGCTTGCGCGAAGCTTGCGCGTACATGAGCTTGCGCGAAGCTTGTGAAAAGCTTGCGCGCGTGTGACGCCATTCAAGTTTTGGAAGAATAAATTCCACCGAATACTAAAATCAATTGCCGAGAGTTTTGAACGCGGCTCACATGTCATCACTTTCGAGTTTCTCCGGAGTGAACTCGAGCATTTCCTGATTTTCCCACCTCTGCATCATTTGTTGCTGTTTCAAGCGTATGGGAGATGTGATCCGCAGATCCGAAGAAGAGCTGTCCCTGCGCCGAATAAAGCGTGAAAATCAGTAAGAACACATGGCCATATGTCATACCGTATGAGTCATACCGTATGAGTCGTACATGTTTAAGTCATGGATGAACTGATGCAATCTGGTGCATTTTTGTTTGCCCATAAGATGACCTGCAAGAAGAGCAAGATGATCCGGTCACCCTCTTTGCGTAGAGAGCGAAGCTCCCAAACAGGTCGCTTCGTTCTGCCCACTGACATATGCCCAGAACTAACGCCACTGACCTTGGATGCGGTCTGGAAATCTCACTCATCTGAGACTCAGCACTATAATATCACTATAAATGTCTCTTTTGCAGCATGGGAGCCTTCCCTGCTGTTCTTGGAAATTTTCCATATTCAATACAGTGCGCCAAGAGCACACTTGCGCTACAGCACATGTGGTCCCATGTGCAGGATTTTTTTCAATCTTTTGTTTCTCTCCGAGTTACTGGATGGCTCTGTGAACTTTGCCACAAGAACTCCAGCACTGACAACGCAAGGCCTGACTTGAACACACAACTTTCTTTCTCCCCAGGGATCAAAACACGAGGACAAAAATCATGAGAATCATGACAATCAGATAGATAGATAAATAGATAGATAGATAGATAGATAGGTAGATGGATAGATAGGTAGGTAGATAGATCGGCTAGATAGGATAGATAGGATAGATAGGAAAGACAGGATAGATAGGATAGATAGGATAGATAGGATAGATAGGATAGATAGGATAGATGGGATAGATGGATAGATGGATAGATGGATGGATGGATAGATAGATAGATTAGATAGATTAGATAGATTAGATATATAGATTAGATAGATTAGATAGATTAGATAGATTAGATAGATTAGATAGACTAGATAGATTAGATAGATTAGATAGATTAGATAGATTAGATAGATTAGATAGATTAGATGGATTAGATAGATTAGATAGATTAGATAGATTAGATAGATTAGATAGATTCGATAGATTAGATAGGTTAGATAGATTAGATAGATTAGATAGATTAGATAGATTAGATAGATTAGATAGATGGGATAGATAGGATAGGTTAGATAGGATAGAAAGAGAGATAGATAGGATAGATAGGATACAAAGGATAGATAGGATAGATAGGATACATAGGATAGATAGGATAGAAAGGATAGATAGGATAGATCAGATAGATCGGATAGATCGGATAGATCGGATAGATAGGATAGATAGGATAGATAGGATAGATAGGATAGATAGGATAGATAGGATAGATAGGATAGATAGGGTAGATAGGATACATAGGATAGATAGGATACATAGGATAGATAGGATACATAGGATAGATAGGATAGACAGGATAGATAGGACAGATAGGGTAGATAGGACAGATAGGATAGATATAGGATAGATCAGATAGATAGGATAGATAGGGAGAGAAAGGATAGCTGGGATAGATAGGATAGATAGGAGAGAGAGGAGAGAAAGGAGAGATAGGATAGATAGGATAGATAGGATAGACAGGATAGATAGGAGAGATAGGAGAGAAAGGAGAGATAGGAGAGATCGGAGAGATAGGAGAGATAGGATAGATAGTATAGGTAGGAAAGATAGGATAGATAGGATAGCTAGGATAGCTAGGATCGCTAGGATATTTAGGATCGCTAGGATCGCTAGGATCGCTAGGATCGCTAGGATCGCTAGCATCGCTAGGATCGCTAGGATCGCTAGGATAGCTACGATAGCTAGGATAGATAGGATAGATAGATAGATAGATTAGATTAGATTAGATTAGATTAGATTAGATTAGATTAGATTAGATAGATAAGATAAGATAAGATAAGATAAGATAAGATTAGATAGATAGATAGATAGACAGATAGACAGATAGACAGATAGACAGATAGACAGACAGATAGATAGATTAATTTTAAAAAAAGATAGAAAGAAAGAAAGATAGATAGAAAGATAAAAAGAAAGAAAGAAAGAAAGGAAAAAAAGAAAGAAAGAAAGAAGGAAAGAAAGAAAGACAGAAAGAAAGAAAGATAGATAGGTAGGTAGATAGGTAGATAGATAGATAGACAGATAGATAGATAGCTAGATACAATGACCGCCTTGCCTGTGAAGATTCCTGCAAATGGGGATTCTGCAATGGCCACAATGATACAGGCGAGCGTGATGCCGTACTCCATCGAAGGTAGTTTGTATCCCAGGATGCTCCATTTCGAACTGGGCAGATGCCGGTAGGACGTCAAAGCATCCTGCATCAAACTCACTGAGCCTTAGACAAACAGGATCTCCAGCTGCAAAAAGTGATGCAAAATCAAGGAAATGTTGGAGGAGCAGAGGATGTCGTTTTTGGCTCTGGGATCTGTCAGACCTGTTGGATGGAAACTGTTCAACGACTTTAGATCGCGGGTGGCTGGGTGGTTTGAGGGAATCCTTGTGTGAATCCTAATGTCCATGTCACTTATGTCCTTATGTTATGTGAATCCATCTGCAGTCAAGTCACTGTTCATGAACAGACCTCCAAGGAACCACGTCGGAATGAGATGCCCAATGGGCATCCCTGATAGGAAAAGCCCAGCACAGAACACAGCGCAGGTGAAGACCGCCTTAGCCAACGGCATCCAACGGGACACCCAACGGCACCGAATTTAAGGCCTGGAGAGTTCCCAGCTGCAGCCAGGATACTATTCGGTGTGTACCTCCTTGGAAAGAACAAAACACTTTGAATCCAGCACTGTATGCTCTGGTTGTGTTCAAATCTCTTGCAGTCTCCGTTCCGTCTCCTTTCGTTTCTATCGAACTTAGGCCTTTCCCTTAAAGCCTTCTGAAACCTCGCGCGCTGCACAGCCGCAGATACGGGGTGTTTCCATATTGCATGACCTTTATGACCTTTATGTGAGTCAACATTGGAACAAAACGCCAAGGAGGAGAGTTTTCTCCGCGCAGGTTTTTCTGTCCAAGGCACCGTCCATTCGCAACTGCACCGAGCTCCCAAGCCGATGGAAGGTGATAATCCCACCTGGACCGACAAGAAGCATAGCTTGAGCATTGGATGTCCACATTTTAAGTAAAATATTACACATTGTTACAGATTGTTGCAGTTTGTTACAGATTGGTACACATTGTTACAGATTGTTGCAGTTTGTTACAGATTGGTACACATTGTTACAGATTGTTGCAGTTTGTTACAGATTGGTACACATTGTTACAGATTGTCGCAGTTTTTTACAGATTGGTACACATTGTTACAGATTGTTGCAATTTGTTACAGATTGGTACACATTGTTACAGATTGTTGCAGTTTGTTACAGATTGGTACACATTGTTACAGATTGTTGCAGTTTGTTACAGATTGGTACAGATTGTTACAGATTGTTGCAGTTTGTTACAGATTGGTACACATTGTTTGTTGCAGTTTGTTACAGATTGGTACACATTGATTGGTACAGATTGTTACAGATTGCAGATTGGTACACATGTTACAGATTGTTTGTTACAGATGGTACACATGTTATACAGATTGTTGCAGTTTGTTACAGATTGGTACACATTGTTATACAGATTGTTGCAGTTTGTTACAGATTGGTACACATTGTTACAGATTGTTGCAGTTTGTTACAGATTGGTACAGATTGTTACAGATTGTTGCAGTTTGTTACAGATTGGTACCCATTGTTACAGATTGTTGCAGTTTGTTACAGATTGGTACAGATTGTTACAGATTGTTGCAATTTGATACAGGTTGGTACAGGTTGTTACAGATTGTTGCAGTTTGATACAGGTTGGTACACATTGTTACAGATTGTTGCAGTTTGTTACAGATTGGTACACATTGTTACAGATTGTTGCAGTTTGTTACAGATTGGTACAGATTGTTACAGATTGTTGCAGTTTGTTACAGATCGGTACAGATTGTTACAGATTGTTGCAGTTTGTTACAGATTGGTACACATTGTTACAGATTGTTGCAGTTTGTTACAGATTGGTACACATTGTTACAGATTGTTGCAGTTTGTTACAGATTGGTACACATTGTTACAGATTGTTGCAGTTTGTTACAGATTGGTACACATTGTTACAGATTGTTGCAGTTTGTTACAGATTGGTACACATTGTTACAGATTGTTGCAGTTTGTTACAGATTGGTACAGATTGTTGCAGTTTGTTACAGATTGGTACACATTGTTACAGATTGTTGCAGTTTGTTACAGATTGGTACAGATTGTTACAGATTGTTGCAGTTTGTTACAGATTGGTACAGATTGTTACAGATTGTTGCAGTTTGTTACAGATTGGTACAGATTGTTACAGATTGTTGCAGTTTGTTACAGATTGGTACACATTGTTACAGATTTGTGCAGTTTGCAGTTTGTTACAGATTGGTACACATTGTTACAGATTGTTGCAGTTTGTTACAGATTGGTACAGATTGTTACAGATTGTTGCAGTTTGTTACAGATTGGTACATTGGTACACATTGTTACAGATTGTTGCAGTTTGTTACAGATTGGTACACATTGTTACAGATTGTTGCAGTTTGTTACAGATTGGTACACATTGTTACAGATTGTTGCAGTTTGTTACAGATTGGTACAGATTGTTACAGATTGTTGCAGTTTGTTACAGATTGGTACCCATTGTTACAGATTGTTGCAGTTTGTTACAGATTGGTACAGATTGTTACAGATTGTTGCAATTTGATACAGGTTGGTACAGGTTGTTACAGATTGTTGCAGTTTGATACAGGTTGGTACACATTGTTACAGATTGTTGCAGTTTGTTACAGATTGGTACAGGTTGGTACGGGCTGTTACCGATGGTTACAGGCTATTACAGGTTGCTACAAATTGCTACAGATTGTTTCAGATTGTCACAGGTTGTTACAGATTGTTACAGATTGTTGAAGTTTGTTTTAGAATGTTGCAGGTTGTTGCAGCTTGTTGCAGACTGTTGTACAGATTGTTACAGATTGCTACAGATTGTTGCAGCTTTTTACAGATTGTTACAGTTTCTTACAGATTGTTACAGATTGTTACAGGTTATTACTGATTGTTACAGATTGTTACAGATTGTTGCAGATTGTTACCGTTTGTTACAGATTGTTGCAGGCAGATTATTGCAGATTGTTACAAGTTGTTACAAGTTACTGTTAAGCATTCAACTGTCTTTTGTCTGATGAAACTCACATCACTTCAATCACTATGCACATACCTTGCAAAAGCATGTTGAAACTGCCTACGAAGGTTTCAGGACTTCCCCAGAATTCACCGGTAGCCTGCAAAGCCCAGGATGATATCCACCCAACCCACGGTGATCAATTCTCGGTCATAGTCGACCGTTGCATCCGGATTCGGATTGCCTGGTCATGTCCGAATTGTCGAATTGTCATGATGTGTTTTGACTGAGATTTGAAGAGTTCTGATACATCACTTCAAGATACTGCGGCTTCGGGCAAGTTGAATCAATTGATCCTGCCATGGCTTTGCATCATTTTGCATTGGGGTTTGATCCTGCCATATCCCGCCTGGTGGTCCTGTTGGAAACTTTCCGGAAATGCCCAGCACGCCAGTCATCGTGCAGAGAACGCTCATCATCACAATGAGACCTTGCGACCTGGGCTCAGTTCAGATCCACAGGCCAGGTGTCAGACGACAGGCCAGGTGTTCCAGTTCCAAATTCCAAGTGACCCCATATTCTCCCAGACGAAACTCCTTGGGACACACGAGCAAAGAGAAGCACAGCAATTTTAGACTCACACAATGTTCATTTGGTTTGAAAATGTCGTTCCATTCAAAGTTCATTCAAAGTTCATTCAAAGTTCATTCAAAGTTCATTCCTGCCATTGCCTGCCATCGAGATTTGGGTTGCCTTGTTGTCATCTCCAAATCTGCCAAGACTCCAATCTGCCATCTCCAGGTGGCTGGAAGTCCAGAGAGACAAGGGACTGCTGCTTCCCTGACGAGGATATGTCCACCCCTGCTCCGTCAACTCCTCCATATCCTGGGGGCCATGTTGCAGGGGCATGTTGCGGGGGCATGAAGGACGGGGGGAAGGCGGAAGAAACTTCAGCACTATTACACTATGATGATCTATTATGTCCATGAGTCATGAGTCATCATGAGTCTATGCATTGTAGATTTTGCTACCTGCTTCAATCTTTGTTATACAGTTATACATATATTAGGTAACATTATACTCAGAATGTGTCCTTTCTTGGAAAGTGCTATTGCCTGGGAAGTTGTTTCGTTTCGTTCGCCCATTGTAGAACGCCTGAACACAACTAAACACCACCAATGCCGTTTATTGTCGACATCAACCGACTGTTCAGCCCATCTGGCATCCCAAATATCCCAATCTCTGAGCCCAGCACTATCTTTGCCAAACTCACAACAAGGTAGAACAGAAAGAGCGGCACCAGTTGGCATACGAGTCCACCCAGCTTTTTCACTGATGGATAACGTGGGAAAGCTTTCCTGGACACAAAAAAACAAAATTGGCAAAGACGGGGACATCCGGGATGCGACACGACGCGATTTTTCAAAGGCCATCTTTGTGAATTGCAAAATGTATCAAAATGTCATATTGCAACTTGCAACATGCTGAATGTTGCTCACAGTTGCTTACAGCCAAGTGTCACCAGGATGGGGGGCATCTGTCGCCTGAGAAACCGAAACCCTCAGCGCTCCTCCGAACATCGTCCTTTCAACCATAACAAACCTCTATTCTCCTCGAGTCTTTCTGAGTCTTTCTGAGTCTTTCTGAGTCTTTCTGAGTCTTTCTGAGTCTTTCTGCTTGTTCTGACCCTTTTGCGATGGGTGTACATTTCATCAATGTCCTTTAGTTCTGACTGCACAGCATTCTCTACATTTCCACATGTGTTGAACACGTTTGACCCCGTTGCCGCAGAGCTACATGAAGATGAGAGCTGCAAACATGCAGAGAACTCGTGAGAGGGGCTGCACTTGGCAAAACTCCTGGCGTGGACAAAACGTGTCGCTGTGAGCACGTTGTGAGCAAAGCGATTCGGCCGTGGTCACAGTGGTCACAGTGGTCACAGTGGTCACAGTGGTCACAGTGGTCAGACTCGCTCCTCAAAATTCACCGGCCAAAGATAGTGAAATGCTACGCCGGATGAGATCTGAAGAGAGCTCTTGAAGATGAAGAAACCAATGGACCCAAGAAAGCCTTGCACTCAGCCCATTCAGCTTCCAGTCTTCCAGGCAGAACGTTCTTGGCATCTGTTGATTGACGGTGTTCATTTAAACTGTTGAAACTCGCAAAAAATTGACTGCATTCCTCATGAAGCTTTCAATGAAGCTCGCCAAGACACCACTCGTCACAGGCGCTGGGAACAAGAGCATTAGCTTTCCCAGTCCAAGCTGCCCAAACAGAATGGATACTACACCCGTGAGAACCTCAGAGCAAAAGAAATCAGAACTTTTCCACCTTTTCACATGTTGAATGCGACGTCGTGACGAAATGGTGATAATGTGGGAAACTGTCCACTGCCTTTAATGCCTTTATTCTATTGACATGTCAAAATCTTCAAACTTCAAATTGCTGCAACTCCTTGCACCTTCTCACTATTCGATAAACATCACAGCCACTGTTTGAGCTACAGAAATTGTAGGACTCAAGATGACTCAAGCCAGGCTCTGGTTGCACAATGATGCACAATGTAGAGGACAGGATTCGACGCCACATATAAATCCATTTCATGTGCTGACAGTACACAGCTAGTAGATTTGATAGATGGAAAGGGTGATGTCTTCAGCTTACTGCCTGCTTCCGTTTGGCCTACAGAGGACCTATAGTCAATCTGCAGCAACACGCAGCTTTTGTACAGGAACTAGAATATACTAGAATGATCTAGAATGTAAATGAGTGACATCTGTGACATCTGGGATGAACAAATTGTTGAAACCCTTATGACGAAAATTGGTCCCACTGAGTCACAGTGCTGACGCCGATAAATGCGAGCTGGGTGGGAACGATCTGGCTCGCTTCGACTGACTTTTGTATCTGGGTACCCATTGTGCCCCATAGAATGCCTGAACCAGCGCAGATGACAATAGCGCACAACTGCAGAGTCTTTGCATTCGAGGACAAAAACATCGTGGATCAGCACCACCTCCGATCACAAAGTGCAGACTTGCCAAGAGCACACAAGAAATGGAGTTTCAATGATTAATGATAGAATTAATGAAAGGGGGTAGACTCCACGCAAAAATACGTAAAATCGCTGCAAGCTGAGCGGCCAATAACATCATTGATGCCGATGAGGCTGAATTGCATCCGTCCAAAAAGGCCATACCAAACAGCAGAAACAGCAGACGAAAACCTGCAGATCGTTTCGAAAAAATCTGCCAGTTACTGTCTGGAATGCATGGACCGCAAGAGTACACCAAAATGATTGTTTCGCTCAGGGACTTCCAAATGGGATTTCCCGATATTTCCCTATAGTTCCCGACCATTGGACCATGCAAGACAAAACTCCAAGGCAAAACTCCAAGTCCCAAGGCGCTGGCCACATCATGGTGATGCCGAACGAAAACCTCGGCAGCGAGACGGTCGTGGTTCGACTCGCTTCGACACGTCGGTTCGACACAGTCGAACCTTAACACCGTCGAAGCTTTTTATGAAGACTGAGATAAAGATCACAACAAGGATCTTCAATTCAAGAAAAACAGCGGGAAAGAGAAGTCATTGCTTGAATCAACGGGGATGAAGTCATGGCAATTGAATGCAATTCATGTAGTCAATGGCCAAGTTGATCCAAGTTGATCCAAGTTGATCCAAGTTGATCCAAGTTGCATGTCACTCAGCTCTGGCACACCAGCTGCGGTGAAGATTAAGCTTGCGGTCATGATGGCGCTAAGCCCCTGCCGAATACCAATCCTGAGCTGCATGTGATCGAACCTGGGCAGAATGTGCCATCTGCCAATGAAGCAATGAGCGCAACGCGATTGCGATCGAAAAGCTCTTGTAAGAGGCCTTTAAAAGGCTTTTAAGATAGGGAAGAAAAGGAAAAACGTGGAAAAACTAAAAGCAGCCCCGGACAGTCGGGTCTCATAACGCCAGCACCCACATTGGCCACGCAAAGTGCTTTGTCTGGGCGACCATTTTCCTTGGTTTCAACGCGTCAGCGATCGAATCAGTGAGGAACCGGCACCGGCAGGAACCGGTGGTTTCTGTCGGTCGTTCTGTCGGTGAAAGCTGGGCTGCGCACCAAGGGTACCACCTGATCTGGGCTCACAGGCACAGCTGACGGTCAGACGACTCAATGTCTGGTCCAAGATCTCCAAGATGTCCAAGTCAGCACAAGATGTTTAATATGTTTAACTGTCTGTTTGGTGGCACATCTTGGCCGCTCTGAGAGCCCAACTTCTTGCCAGAGTGGCCACCAACCAAACACACTGTGTTCTTTCGTTGGAATGGCCACCGACCTGGGATTCAGCATCCAGATGTACCCAAGTAGACCCATTCAGTAGACCGCTGAGCAAACGGATCACTCATGATCACTCATCAAATTCATCAACTGACCACTTGACACCACTTGTTCATCTTGTCACGCACTGGGAAGATGGCTTTTTCAGAAATGGTTCCATGGCTCAGACCACCAAGCTACAACCGGAAACAGCGAAGAGATGCGAGGAGTATCTGACATGTTTCATCATTTTCATCATGTTTCTACCGATTTCTATCCATTGCAATAGTTCACGAATATGTTGGTTTGCAGGTTTGATCAAATCTGTAGGTTTGTGTGCAGCATTCCAGGTCTCATGTAGGTCTCTATTTTGAAACCTTTTACTTCGAGGCTGGAGAAAAAGAGAGGTGAGGCGGATGAGGAAAAGATTCCAAGTGGCGCACTCATTAAATATTTAACTATATTAAATATATTTAAATATCATTAAATATTGCATCAACTTAACCTGCGGAGACAAGGTACAGACTCCTAAAATCCGATGTCTACATCCAAAGACTGGAATTTGCTTGTCGAAAGTCTGTTGCACACTACGGCGACTGCATATAATTGCATATAGTTGTTAGATTCAAAAATGTCGGTCATCTAAAGTGTTGGTCCAGGACGGATTCCATTAGATTACAAGCCTTCAAGCACCGCTGGCACAGATGTTTTCCTCCCCGATGCGAAGCCCCTCAGGGGTGAAACGATGGTCGCTATCAAAGTCACCTTACGAGTTTGGGGGTCATGTCTTGTCATGCCTTGGAACCCATGCAATTGACTTTTCTCACCAAGATGTAAGCAAAGAAGGATAGCCATTGACAACCAGCCATGTCTTGTAGTGTTTGTGTTGGGTCAAGCAATGCTCGGCTTTGAAGGTTTCCTATAAGGCCTTTTGCAAGGAAGACCAGCGGAACGTCCAGAATGGACTTTCCGCATGGCTCCCGTTTGCAAAGGCTTCTGTAGCCGTCAGCGGTGAATCCGAGTCGTTCATCGTCAGCATGTGGAATGTTGGGAATGCGTCCCTTGTTTCGCATGAAGTGCCACCGCACAGACCAGCTGCCGCACCGCTACGGAATTGCAGCAAAAGGGCTATGTCTGAGAAAGCCGAGATTTTGCTTGGCTTTTGCTAGGTATGCAAAGTTTTGCTACCCAGCTTCTGTAGAAAACCAATCAACATCTGTGTGGACTTGAAGAATCAAACGCAATTCTGTGTAGTTTATGCAATACTGGTATTCAGAATATATTTGGAGCAGATCTCTCTGTCTCAGCGCCATTCAGCAGGCCTCCAGCATGAGAGGAGCTGTGCTGTTTGAAGATCTTTGAGGTTTCCAACGGGCAAACTCTGACCCAACAATGCTTGCCAAATACCTTTGAAAGAAATGCTCAGGTTTGAGGATCAGGTGCATGCAAACTATGCAAAACTCAAATGAAGTACTGTCCATGGAGGAGATTTTGAGACAAGTGCAGGGGAAACAACCGCACAAAACAGGGACATTGTGACAGAGCAATGATGTAAGATATGTCATCATTTGTGACATTGGGAAAAAAGAAAGAAAAACCAGAAATCATCTCAAAAGGACTGTCGTACAGCCGAAATGTCCTCGCTTTGTGCTTTGCCACGCCTGGCCAGCACAAATGTTCTCTTCATGAACGGGAATTGTGCCACCAGGCCTCAAGACATACAGCTCAATGACAGCTCAATGACAGCTCAATGACAGCTAACAGCTCAGCAGGGTCCACCACCGCCCTTGCAACACAGTCGTGTTTTCCAATCAAGACATGGTTCGAAGATGTTCGAATGAGACAGTTCTGCTGAAACACGATCTATTTCATTACATCTCATTAGTCATAAGGTCTGAATATAAGCTTCACACTGGATCTGGATGCCACCTGGTTCTCGACGCCGCTCTTTGGCGTTCTTTGACGCCTGAGAACCCCCAAGAGGTTCTCGTGACAAATGGTTGGGCATAGTTTCCTCATAGTTTCCTCTGTATCGAATGGCACCCTCTTTCTGCAGTTTTCCCGTTCATGAATCCTGCATTTTCAATGTTCATCCATGTTCCAAACGACTGTTGCACAGCTAAGCACCTCCAAGTGTGGCTCTTAACCATGTCAAACCATGTCAAACCATAAAATAATTTGAAATCACATGAATTTCTATCACAAGTGACACAAGTGAATCATTCTCGTATTATATTTTGATCATTGAAAATCTGCCGAATCTGCACCTGGTTGTACACTTCCTGGAGCAACTGCTCAAAGACGTGCTTCACATTGTACGTCCTCGGCTGACACGACTTTGGGATTTCTTCGGACTCTGTTTCCACATTCCGAAAGAAGGTCCTTGAACCATGCTTTTGCCATGCTTTTGCCATGCTTTTGCCATGCTTTTGATTGCAGATATTGCAGCTTCGACGTTTCGACATTTCGAGATCATTATGATCATTCGTTCTATTTTCCTTTGTGTTTCCGCTTAGTGAAGACACGACAGACTAAGGCCCAACGTAACCGCACTTGCCTCTTTGAAAAGAAGCCTCCGCATGACCAAACGCAGGCAGAATCGAACGCACAATTTTTATGGACATTGATAGATTCTCGGCATTGTGTGTAAAACCTACGGACCGTCGCTGCCACAAGCCGACTGCATCCAAGTGTGTGAGATTGTGAGAGGTCTTCCCTGCTTGCAGCATGTGCAGAGTTGCGTAGCGTTTGAGAAGGACTGTGCTTTTGCAGCATTGTGGATCTCCGGTCTGTGGACATCCCCGAAATTTCAGGTGGATAATTTTGATATTTCCAACTTGGCTCTTTTGGTGCATCGCTTCATTCTGCGCTGCGCATCTGTTTTGCGCCTTTTTTGGCAGCTATGTGTGTTGCTTTCCCTCTGGCCCCAAGAACAAGCCGGAGGTGCTTATGTTGCCGAGCAAACTCTGAGGCAGCATCATAATGGACCTGGCGGCCCAACAAGCTGTACAGTTTCTTGCCCAAAACAGGCATTCTCACAACTGCATCAACTATTTTGTCACCAAAATTTCCAACGAACCCCAAACAAATTGACAAACTCACTATCAATGGATTGGTTTAAGGGAAAATCTACATCAAATATGGTGTTTTCCTGTAATTTTTTGTGGGATGTCCAGTGATTTTCCGTTGCCTACCTGGGGACGACAAACCCGATGACTCGCCCGCACCTGTCGAGCCGTTGGGTCCTTCTCAACGAGGTCGAGCTTGTTGCCGACCTCGGAAGGACCACGGCTTTAGGTTTGACAATTGGTTTGACCATCTTCAACCTATGAATCATGGGGATGATAATGGATGATAATGGATGATAATGGATGATAATGGATGATAATGGATGATAATGGATGATAATGGATGATAATGGATGATAATGGATGATAATGGATGATATATACATATATATATTATAATATATATATATATAATATTAGAAATTTGATATGACAGATGGGGAAAAAGGACGGAAAGGAATGGAAAAACATGGAAAGAATCTGCGAATCTGCGGCATCTCTGAGGCGTCAGCGAGCATAATTATGATGTTGGGCTCAGCATTTTGCCGCAGCTCTTCCAGCCATTTCAAGCCTGACAGCTCTAGCGATTCTCGAATCGATTTGTTCATATAGTTTGTGGATCAACATGTCTGACTTGGAGAGCCAGGTTTCAATTTTGCCTTTCAATTTGGTCTCTTTTTGGTGACTTGTGATGTGGATGTAATCGAACCAAGGCGGGGAAAATATGGCTATCCTAAGGCAAAAAACCATGGGATGAAACCGATCTCTAGGCGATCTCTAGGCCGAGGTGCAATTTTGGAAGGTTGCGTTTCGTGTGACATCCTTGGAGCTACAAAATCGACCAACAAACCACCAATCGATGAAGTTGAGCCAGTTGAGTGGCCAGCAGATTCAACATGATTCAACTGCACAGCATAAAGTTTAGGCATAAAGCTTTTAATTGGAATTAATTGGACAAGGCTGCCAAGGCTCATAGACGAGCAATGCTCCTACAGCCCGACGATAATGCGAGCCTGAGCCATTGCAGATCTTTGGACGTGACTTTCAGATCTTCGCGTCGGAATCGGAACTGGGTTCTGTACTGGTGATTGCCCGATATCTTTCCTGCCCTGCAGTATCCCAAATTTGCGCCTGCGCCAAATCTATCCAAATCTGATAAAGTTCATGAAAACCAGATGCTGCATGTTGGCTTGAAAACTCAAAGTTCAGCCCTTTTCATGTGCTGAGTTCCACCATGTTCCACCGCCAGCGTGGACGTGACAAGCTAATTTCCTGTCACATCAACTTTACGGTTCCGCCACCTTTACAGTGCCACCAACAGCCAAAGGAATGGTGCCTTGCTGCAATTCAAAGCGCGCTGCTCAGACGGCAAAGAGAAAACAAACATCTAATGGTGGAGACTAGATCAGGTTATGCTCCTTGGTATGGAAGTTGAAACACGGCAGTATCAGTGTTTTGCTTCGTAATTCCAATACCTTGCAACATTTGACTGCTCTGACTATCTTGAGACCCTGACGGGTCGCGAACTCCACTCCAATGGTAGCTGTTGGTGCCTTTGGTAGAGTACCTATCGCTGAAAGCCAATCTACAAAGATCGCAACATATGATGAACCTGCTATGAATCTGCCCATCTCTTCACAGTGCCCCGTCACGGCCGTCACCGTGCCGTCACCGTGCCCTCCGTTTGTCTCACCTTTCACGTAGCGCGATAAGAGGTGGGTCTTTCCCACCGTTGCATCACCCACGAGCACAACCTGCAGGTGAAGCCATTTGTTGTGCCGTTTGTGCGGACCATGGCAGCGCCGTTTCTTTTTTCCTTAACAAATGCCTTGTACCAACCATTTCCCACACACCTTGTACAGGTGGTCGCAACCTGTCGGAGATTGGTCCCGGTGCTGTAGGCTCTAGATTGAAAGACGCCCCAAGGAAAAAGTAGACTAGCAGCCTAGCAGCACAGCTGCAAATGAAACAAGAACTTGCTGAATATGTGCATGTTTATGCCATAGATCTTTCAACGTTTGACAACCGCAACAACAGCAAAATCAACAAATGCAGAAACTAGTAGGCGCTGCTTCCATCTCAGAATGTGATGTGCACAACACATGGTCGCTGCCAAATCTGCCAGATTGCACGGCGCTGAGTCCAAAACCATCTTCGTCCTCCATGTTCGCTTGGAGCTTGAGACACACCTTGGGTGGGATCAGAACTGGGATCAGTCGGATGACACCAAAACAGTCAGAGAATCACAGCATTTTTCAGGTCTGACAGGTCTTTTCGCCTCCTGAGCCTCGTGCTCAAATGGATCAAATGTCAAGTCATGTCGAGTGTGTTGAGCCACAAGATTCACCGCACAGGAGTGGTTGACATCACCCAGTCGGATCCGTCATGATCCCTCCATGCCGTGCCGTGGATACACTCTGGTTGGTGGTTTTTCGCCACCCCGAAAAATGATGGAGTGAGAGTCAGTTGGGATGACATTCCCAATATATGGAAAGTCATAAAAGTCATAAAAGTCATGTTCCAAACCACCAACCAGTGTTGATTCTGTTGATTCTGAGGAAGTTTCATGTCACGTGCGAACGATCGACTTTTCCTCGAGCGCACAGCTCGATCCGAATCTCACGAGGTGTTCTCGTAGGATTTTTTGCATTCACCACATGTCGGGCATCAGTTTCTGACCCCTTAACCTCACCACCAGCTTCAGCTTCAAAACAAAATGATGCGGCAAACAATAATCCAATAATCGAAAGAAATGCAATTGAGACTTTGGGACATGAGGTAAGCATAGGTAAGCCATGTCTGCATAACTTCCACTCACAAAATCTCACAAATCAAAATGTTCAGAGTCTTTGAGCTGCCACTGCACGTCTGTTTGAGTTGCGGGCTGGGAAGCTGAAGATGTATCTTGATCTCCCTCAAATCCAACCTGGCCGGGCGATTGAAAAAGACTTTCGCTCAGGACCTTGAAAAAAAAACATTGCCCTGGTCTGTGCGCCTATGCGCTGTTGACACGTGTCTCACTGGTTCTTCAATTCTCCAAATTATCATCCATTATCATCCATTATCATCCATTATCACAACCAGAAAGCTTATCATACTATATCATAATTATCATGATAACCAAATAGTATCATTATCATCCATTATCATCCATTATCATCCATTATCATCCATTATTATCCATTATCATCCATTATCATCCATTATTATCCATTATCATCCATTATCATTAATATTATCATCCATTATCATTAATATTATCATCCATTATCATTAATATTATCATCCATTATCATTGATATTCTCATAGGTCATCACGACTTTGATGGTTTTCTTGGCGGCCTGGGACTCGATGCCTGTGGCCAGGACAGCAAAGCCTGACCAGCGCAGGCAAGGGCCCATTTAAAACGGGGCTTCCAACGGGCAAACTCTGAAGATACCCTCTGGTTATGTCAAAATAGCTATTGAAAATGACCAAATGACCATAGAAATAGTGGATTTACCCATTGAAAATGGTGATTTTCCATAGCTATGTTAAATTACCAGAGGGTATCTGAAGAGATCTGAAGATATCTGAAGACTCCAAACAAATCCTCTTGGATGTTCAATGATTGGATGTTTTGCTGATGCGCTTTCTGCCTTGCAATGCAGATTGATGGGTTCAGCAAAACCCCCCAAGCGGGTGTCAAGCTGCCTGCGACATGTCAGACTTTCCAAACGGCGTTCCAGTCCTCACATGTCCTCGAGATGTCCTCGCGGTAGACTAAAGTCTTAGAATCCTGCCTCAGGTCAATACCCCTTATGCCTGTTTGCAGCACATCCAGAACCTGGATCGCAGCTTTGTGGCAGAGCTGACTGTCAAAAACGTGGCTCAAACATGTCAGCTCTGTCCACAGCCTGATCCACAAGATCATCGGTTACCACGATTTGGATCGTAGAGACAAAAGGCCTGGAAGTGTCTATAAACCTGTCTATAAACCTGTCTATAAACCTGTCTATGATCGTCCAAGATCGTCCAAGATCGTCCAAGATGGTCCAAGATGGTCCACAATGTGTTTGCTGCGAAGTCTGCGAGGTGCACTCAAAATATACAAAGACTGCTTTCAACCCTCACCATGTTTTGCCTGAAACCTGAATCTGTCTGCGCTTTTTCCGGTGAGCTGTCGCTCTGAAAGTGTTCTACGTTCTAAGGTTCAAACTCTGCTGACAGGTGACATTCCAAGACGAGGGCAAAGGACATACTGCGGCAAGGGACTAGGGACTTGAAGTTGACCCGAGCTCAACAAAAGAAACATAAAGAAACTATAACAGTTGTGACAAGTTGTGACAGTGCTGCAATATCTGCCAATCCAAATATCTGACAAAAAGAATCTGTGGCAGGTGTAAAAGTTTTCTGGGGGGTTGGAGCAGCTGGAGCAAAAACCTCAAGGGTCATTATGGTCATTTCTTGGAAAGTTTAGAGTCCAAAGTTATTCTGGCCTTAGAGCCTCTGACCTTGAAAAGGAGCTATGGCCAGTCGCATCATTTCCGGATTTCTGGATTTCTTGGGGGTTGGCAACATTTGTTTGATGAAATTGATTCGTTTGAATCATTTGATGTTTCTGTGCACCCACCTTGGCAACCAAAGGCCCTGGCCGCAAATGCTGTACAAACCTTCTCCCACCTGCACAAGACCGTACATGGGGAGATATCGGAGATATCCTCGCTTACCTTGCTTTGCAATCTTTGCATTGGTTACATAAAAATCAAAATACTCAGTTTTGTTGTTCTACTGTCTCCCACTGACTTCTAGTTCCTGGCGTTCCTGCCACAAGCCTGTGAAACTAGCGAGAACAAGGCCTCCGCATGAAGCACTAGCGGTACAACTGGCACCCTTGGAGCAAAGGTCGGGCACATTTTAAGCCAGGCATCGTTCACGTGGATCCTCAAAACGATGTTCACCCAGCCAGGTCCCCCAAACAGGAGAACACTCTGCGGTTTGTTCCATCCATGATCTCTGCGGATACATCTGCCCAACAAACCAAATCTCTAGTGATAGAACAACTTAAAATGAGGGATATGGACATATATGGACCATATTTAATATATTTTTATGAATTATCATGATGTATCATGATGTATCATGATGTATCATGATGTATCATGATGTGTTCATTGGAATCCAACTAACCAAATCCATTGGGTAAAATCCACCTGGATGACATCCTGACATCCTGACATCCTGAGGCCCTGACCCGTCAAATCCGTCAATGCATGGCGTCAGGAGACCTCCAAAGGAGCATGGAGCCAAATAGCTGGATTCAGCTGGATGCTTGTGAAAATCCCATGGAAAATCCGATGATTTGGGATGATTTGGGATGATTTTGGGATGATTTGGGGTGCCCCTATTTTAGGGTTTCTCATGGTTTCTCTCGGAATGACTTCGGAATGACTTCGTATGAAATCATGGTTTCTGATACGTCCAGACTCTAGACATCACTCAACATCACTCCCTGCAGTTCGCCGGAATCTCAGTGCACGGTGCACTGTGCAGTTTTCAAGGCCCAAACCCATCATCCTCAGTCCATGCGGTCCATGCGGTCCATGCGGTCCATGCAAGCTGAAAGAAACTCCACGGGAAACGTGAAACGTCAGCACTTCTTGGGCGTCTGCCAGCGTCGTAGCAGGTGAAAACCACGATGCCCAAGCAGCTTCATCAGTGGCATCTGGCAACGATATGACGATATGCAATGTGGAATGACAAGAAAAAACAGGCAAAGGGATGCAAAAGGATGCAAAAGGTATCAGCTCGTAGTCCTGAAACACTCAGATACCGTCAAAGACCCCACATGAAATGAAAGATGTGAAAGATGTGAAAGATGTGAAAGATGTGAAAGATGTGAAAGATGTGAAAGATGTGAAAGATGTGAAAGATGTGAAAGATGTGAAAGATACAGGACATAGACATAGTGACATCGTTTTTCGAGATCTATAGAGACCTTATGAGATCTTTTCTTATACCTTGTTGATCCTTTTTGCCTGAAGTATCTTTCGTACCTCGTGGCAAAAGTATCTGCCCAGCGCAGCGCTGAGCCGCTCAGCGGCTTCACCTCGGTTTCGGGGTCACTGATCGAGGCGATTCATCGATTTGTGGCGGTTGCCTTGAAGGTCGGCATTGAGTCCAAGACCACGCAGCTCAGCAATCAATGCAAACGGCATCCTGGAACTCCCGGGCGACATTTTGTGACATGATTTACATATATTTACATAATGTACATGATTTAGTATGATTTACATGATTTACATCTTACACGGTCTTACAGAATCTTCATGAATCTTCCCAGATCATTGAAGTGTCTCGCCATGTCTCGCCTTCTATCGGAAGGCTGACTCTCTGACTTCTCCGCCTCCATTGGGCTTGGCCTCTGTCATCTCAGCAAGTCATATCAAGTCGTGTCAAGTGGTGTCAATTTGCCGTCGAACGTTGAGAGATGAGACTGTGGCCGTCGAATAAAAACCTCTGTGGGTTCCTTTGTCGCATCGTTCCATGCCTTCGAACGAGGAACATCGAGGAACATCGAGGAACATCGGATCAAGACTAGAACGGGATGACCCTCTGACCCTGCCTGCTCGTTTTGAGAGTTGACCAGTGGGACAAACTGCCTCTATGCCAGCTATGCAACAAATATGCATCATAACTGGCCAGAGCTCTGGAGTTTTGAAACTCTGACACTCCGCCTCTGCAACCACCGGCGCAACTGCGAAAAGCCACAGAAGCAGCCAGCAAGGCAGGCTAGACCCTGAGAGGCTCATTGCATCTCATTGCAGCCACAGATGAAAAAGACTACGAAAAATACTCTGAGTTTTCAGCATCTTTCTACTCAGGTCATCTGTGTATTTTCAGTGCTTTTCAGGTCATCTCTTGTCATCTCTTGTCATCTGCATCACTTTGAAACGACTGTGAGAACTGTGAGAACTGTGAGAACGGTCAGAGGTTTGGCTGAGAGGCGGCAGAGTGAAGGCCAAGACCAAGACCTCAGTGAACTCAACTGGAATCCGTGGACTCGACCAGGGAAAGTCTCAGGGAATGGCAAATCTGTCCCGGACCACCAAAGACAAAGTCACAAAGCCAAACAAAGCGCATCACAATCACTGTCCTCTACGAGCATGACTCAGCAATCACACGCCAACATAATTCATAATATTCATACGTAAAGAGGAGAAGTCTACTGAGTCTACTTTTGAAATCTGTTGAATTAGTGCTTCACTGCTCCAAACACTGTGTCATGCTTGGTATCCAGCAGTAAGTGCTGGTGGCAATAACTTCAGCAGAACCAAACCTTTCATGCAGCATGGTGACCATGGTGCTTCAATCGGCATCCCAGTCATTTCTAGTCAGTATGTTGAAGCTGTCGCCACAACTCAGAAGAGCTTGACACAGAGCTTAACCAACACAATCCAACGCACTTTGGAAGGAATCCTGTGTCAGTCGCTCCTGATTCACAGCCAAGGCGCTTTCCGATTTCCTTCTGACGAACAACCTGAAGTGTGAAAGTGCTGTGAAACACGGGGCAGGTGGTTGAGCACATCCAGAATTCAACCGCCAAAAAAATAATTTCATCCATAAAACATGTGGATTTGACCCATGAAAATAGGGATTTGATTCAACGCATAAAAAATATTAAAAAAATGCATTCAAATTGGTATTGAACCTATCACTATGAAATCTTTGCTTCGAACATATGTGTATCGGATTGGGTTCCCGACCTCCACAGGTATTGCTCTCTTGTGACACACCGTGACCTTCTCCAAGCTGCGTTGAAATTCCTTCTGAATTGCCGTGATGTCTAGAGATGTCTAGAGATGTCTAGAGATGTCTAGAGATGTCTAGAGATGTCTAGAGATGTCTGTCTGAAGCTGTTGGGAACACTTCGGAAGGCTTCCTGGAAAGATCAGATAAGATCAGGGAAGATCCAAATTCTGCAAAATCTGCAAATTCTGCAAATTCATCTTCCAGATCTTCCAGATTTTCCTGGTTCAGTTCAGCCATTTTGTGTGACTCAGCTCCTTCTCCAGCTCGTGCGGCTTTGCAGGCAGCGCCTTCAACAGGCTGTAGGTCAGGTGTGTTTGGAGCAGAGTCTTGACGAAAACTGGGACAGAACATATCACATAAATCAACAATATGATGTGTATGCGCAAATCACAGAGACAGCATTGGAGCATATTGGAGTACAAACGCCTCAGCAATTCAGTCTTTCAATCCATCGCAGGGGGTTTCAACCCTTTCAACCACATGCCTTCGGAAGTAAGAAGGACATGTAACCCTTCTGTGATTGGAAATAGCTGGTCGCTGCCTCGGCGCTGGCACTACTTGATACTGTTTGAGAGCAGCTCTACTACGGTTACTACGGCTCTTCTCTAGGACAAAACCTGATACAGCCATCTTAGACCACAGAAAACATGATAGGGGCACCAGCTAATGCAACGTTTGCGGTACAGCCAAAAGCGATACTCTGAGCACCCATCCCACATTCTCTGACCAAAGGCTGCAGCAAATAGCAGCGCCAATAGCTGTCACGGTAGGATATCCTTTGTCATTTCACATTTTTATACATTTTTCATATGTCAAATCTGTCCTCTGCTACTATACTGACTATACCACCCTCCCACCTTTGGGGAAATTCTCGCGGCTCCCAGGGGCTCCCAGCCATGGCTGCAGAGTCCAACAACTCCGGAATCATCTCAGGCAACGTCTCCTGCCATCTCAACGCAGAACGCGCCTCGGTGGTCACCCCATCGATTTCCATTCCGAATCTTCCCATCTTTTCCAAGTTTTACCACATGTTCCATCATTTTCCCTTGATTTCAGCTTGAAACTTTTGAAGCGTCCCATGTTTTCCGCCAGTTCTCAGAGTTTTTCGCACGTCCTGCGTCAAATCCTCCAGGGCTTCGTTGCAGCAGCCCAGCAGCGTCTCCTACAACGCGATCACCACGGGACCGTATCGACCGTATCAACGAGGGTTTTGCACGGCGCCTTGACACGGTGCACCGGATTCGTTGGAGACCTCGCGGCGGCAGCACGCAGAAATCGGGAGCCTTAGAGACGGAGATGGAGAGATGAAGAGATTCAGAACTCAAATGAACTCAAGAAATCCGAGATTCACATAGATTCACTACATTTCAGTACAGATATTACAGTTACATTCATGACATTCATTACATTCATTATATTCATTACATTCATTACATTCTCAAAACTCCTGGGGCAATGAAGAACTTGCAGTGTGCCGCGTGGCTTCTGAGGGTGCTGCGCTTTTGACCTCTCGAATTAACCTGGTGCCGTGTCTCGAAGCTAGTCGAGCTTGGCAGCGAAAACACGGCAACAAACATAGTCCATGTCCATGGACACCCCACGTGGCTTGAGTTCCTGTAGCCACGATTCATGTTTCTCTAGTTGTTTCTCTAATTGACTTTTTCCACTGATTTGATGATTCTGATTCAGGTGCCTCAATCAAGTTCGTGACAATGTCAAGAAGGCCTTGAAACTTCGTTGAACTTCAGCACAATGCCACAATGCCACAATGCCAAGTAGTTGAACACGTTTTGTCCGTGTCTCTTGTCCCTACATCATGTTTTCAGATGTTTTTACTTCACAATCTTCACACTTTGCGCAAGTGTCTGCGCTGTCCTCCATACATGAAGCTCGCCACAGGAATGACTTCCAGGTTGGACGCCTCGCAAACATTGGCGTCACATTGGACATTCAACAGGCGGAACAACTGGAACAACTGGAACAACTAGATTGCTCATCTCAAATCACGTTATCAGTCACTATTTATAAGAATCACCAAACCAATTTGATGATCAACTATCAGCAGATCACAACAGATCACAACAGATCATAAGTCTCATGCGATTCCATGCAGTTCTATGGAGAGGCCTGGATGTCTGAAACGGAGAATCCATGAAGGGTTGCCAAGTCGAAAGAGATGATGACGTCGCCCTCAATGAGATGATGACTTGAAATGACTTGAAGATGCAGATGAAAGTGATGAAAGTGCCAGATTCGCCAGATCTTCACATCGAATCCAAGTAGAAATTGAAGTCATCGTTCGGATATCAGTGATATCAGCTATCCCCATCTATCCCCAGTGTCTTTGTGCACTTGGCTTTTTGACGTCCTCTCCTGGTGGTCTGAGTTTTGATCTGTTTTGTTTTTGTTTTTTGGTTTTATGATTTTTCTGTTACTGTTTGCAGTTTAATCATTTTGAAGCTCCCCACTGTCACATCCGTCCATTGCGTTTTGGAAATGCTTCGCAGAGCCTGAGCTCAAGACTCAACATAAGTGACACGAAGTGAAACACACGCTGTGCCACGAGGTGGAGTGCTTGCAGTGACTTCTCAGCGATTTATCAATGACTTAGTGGCCAGCTTGGGCGAAATTGCCAGCGTTCACGTGGACACCAAATGCAATCACCTGAAATCGCCATCTGGAAAGCTCAAGAGCTCAATAGTTCATTCATCTATGAATCTATGATATATATATATATAATATAATATAATATAATATGTTCATGCAATGTTGATGTTGCAGTTTCTGCCGCGGCAACTTTTTCCTTTCAGATGGACGCAAACTCCTCCTTTGGTGCCGGCCCTCCCGGGTGCGACCCAGGAGGGACTCCTAAGCCGTCCACTGGCTCACCTCCAGTGGATCCTCCCCCCGCCTGCAGTGGTAGCGTCCAACCTGCGTGAAATTGGGAGGGGTGGGCAGGGAAGCAATTTCACATGCCCAGGGGGGAACTTGAACCTAAAGACAACATCATGTGCAAAAACTCTGACATGACAAGTCATGAGCGAGTTCATGCAATGTTGATGTTGCAGTTTCTGCCGCGGCAACTTTTTCCTTTCAGATGGACGCAAACTCCTCCTTTGGTGCCGGCCCTCCCGGGTGCGACCCAGGAGGGACTCCTAAGCCGTCCACTGGCTCACCTCCAGTGGATCCTCCCGACTCCTGTCTTAGGAGTTCCACCTACCAAAGAATTTGCGACCCGCCATCTTTCTCCTCACCTTCTCCTCTTTCTCACTTTTCTTCTTTTCCTTAAACCGCTGCACCTCATTGTAGAGCTCCTCACTCTCGGGCAACAGCTCGCCCAAGACTACCCATCTGCAATTTTCCTTTGTCACTCGGATCCTCTTACTCATCTCGAAGGCATGGTAGTCCTGGTTCGTGAGGTCGTCTGCCCTCTGGTTCTCATCTCTCCGGATCCACTTCAAGTCCGCCGTGGCACCAAGGCACCTAAGCGTCTCGCTGACCTCAATCACCAACAACGCGATAGGGAACTTCGTAGACATCCCCTTCTTCAGGATGAATTCGTTCCCCCGGTTGTCCGTGAATGCCTCCGTGTGGACGCAAAGGTTTTGGGTCCCATCACCTAGCCACAGCTTGACAGCGACTAGAGTTGCTAGCATCTCAAGCGCCGCAATGACTCTCTTGGGATTCCCCTTCTTCATCTTCAACCATGGCGCCATCCACGGCTCCACTCTCTCTGAGAACCACGCGCACTTCTTTGTATCTTCGTCGCTCTGCAACCATCCTCCAATCCATGCCTCATCATCTGTTGCCTTGGCGTCCGTCCAGATCTTGATGCCTGGAGCTCGTGCGGCTGTCGGGGGACCAACCTCCTCCAATCTCTGCCCTCTCTCAAGCTTCCTCGTGATCCACCGCATCAGCATGAGAATGATCCAGGGGACTCTAAGCTTGCCCCGCGTCCCCCACACAGCTGACGACCATGCGAAGAGCGGTCCCAGCAGGGGTCGTTCCCACGGCAGAGCCAGTGAAGCGAAACTCAGACGCCCAAGCCCGGCTGCGAACTCAATATCACTGACCTCCTTTCGCTCCTCCACCGATCTCATCCATCTGCATAGCCACTCCGCACGGAGCTCCGAGAGCCCCATTGCAAGCTTCCTGTAATCGGTTGACACTCCAACCCACTCTGTAACCCATCCTCCTCGCTGCTTCTGCCATTTGAAGGGCGCCCCTGCAACTGCCATGACCAAAAACACCAGGACAGCGCCTACTCTTCCTTTCCGAGAAGGGGCGACCACTTCCAAATCGTCTGCATATAGAAGCATCTCAATGGGGAAATCTGGGCCAACAATATAGTGGGTGAACCGCATCAAGGCTCCACTGATCCTCGCCCACCAGTACGGCGTAGAGCCAATCCCAAAAGTGCCCACATTGTTCACGTACACTGTGCCATCCTCTTCGCACACTCTGCACGCTAGAAAGCCCCTCTCCGAGGCCTGGTATAAGAACCTTCTGTGAGCTTTCTCAAAATCACCCACTAGGGCCATGACCACCTCCTTCGTATCTGCCAGCTCCTCCAAGACGCATCTCTTTTCCCGAGGGCCAGGCATCCTGACTTTGTCCCTGCATCGTATCCTGTTGTTGACACCCACTTCATGGGTCCCGTCATGGATGACTCGCTTCTTTCCACTAACCTCGTCCTCTACCAAGACAGCCAGCGCAGCAATTGCTCGATTCTTCCCGTAGCTTTCTTCGAACTCCGCTTGGCTCATCTTTGTAACCAAACCAGCGCTGACCTCCGCTTCCAGGTGCTCTCTCAAGTGTCCCTCATGCTGAATGTACTTGGAGTACGCGGCAAGGATTGTCTCAGCGGCCCACCTGCATAGTTCGTTGCTGCTGAAGCTGTTTTGAACTTGCCCTGCTCCCTTCCAATGAGCGATGCACCTTCCCGCTGGGGCAGCGGCCCCACGTAGTGACCCTCCTCATCGAACACGGGCTTGCCTTCTATCATGGCAGGGGGCAGCGGCCCCTCCAGCCGGAGTAGCAGCCGTGTGGGTTTTACTGAGTCGCTCCCGAAGTCCAGCTGGGAGAACACACATGTCCGCAGGCCTTCTTGTAGGGCAAGTTCGAATTGCGGAAACTGCCACATTGATGCCGGCTGATGGCCAGGTATCCTCTGATATTTTGTCTTGCCCAAATCTTCCGGCTGTTCCATCATACCAACAAAATCCTCATGCCTTGCCTGTCTCCTCAACGCCTCATAGGAGAAGTCCCCCAAAATGTTGCCAAGCTCCGCTTTCTCAGCCCTGGAACGGCTGTTCCAGGGAAACCCCCTGGGGTGCATGAGACTTCTCACGGGGTATGGCCCCCGGTCATTCGCCCATGTCGCCCGGGAGAACGTCGAGCAAGGGGGAGTGACCAAAACCGCGAAAAATTCGCCATTGGTGATACGCTGCAGCCACCTCTTCTGGACGTGCTGCAATGAAAAGTCGTCTCGCCGGTTCCTTTGGATGTCCATCTCCACAACCTCAATTTCTATTCCGTGCTTCTTGGAAAGTCTCCTCAAGAAACCTCCCACTGAATTCTTCCTCTTCCGTCCACTGAAGACGTAGAGGACTTTCAAACGTCCTCAGGCAGCACCGGCCCCCTGTGTGTCCTTCTGGGGATCCTGCCTGTTCTTTGAGTTGCACTCAGGCAGCGCATGCTTTGGGGAGAAGCATATTCCACATACATGCTTGTACTTGCATTTCTTCTCTTTGCACTTCTCCCCCGAATTAAAGCGATAGCACACCAGGTCCCCTTGAGGGGTATGTGAGGCGCAATGACCTCCCTGCTGCACGGCTTTTCCCTTGCCCTTGCCCTTCTTCCCGCCCTTCTGTTGCTTCGAAGGCATGGACGGGGCTGGCGCCGGTGCCGTTGCTCTCCAAGGCGGTGGGCGTTTTGCATACAACGCCAACGGTGTCGTAAAGTGCCTTTCTTTCACCGTTGAATCTCTCCATGCAGCTTTGAGAGCCACCACCCATGTCTTCCCCTCTCTGTTCACCAACTTGACAGCCTGTTTCCGCACTGCATGTTCATATGACAGCACCAAGCTCCAGGGCGGGCTTGCCACCGTGTTTCCTTCTTCGTCTCTGGCTACCAGACCGTAAACGTACTCGCCCAACATGTAGTTCTTGTACTCCTCAACTGTCCTCTCATAGTCTCCTTGGAGCTCCGTTCGATTGGTGTGTCTCAGTGCCACCACAACCATAGCGTTTCTTATGATCGTCAATCTCCTTCTCAATTCCTCTGCATTCGCCGGCTCCTTGACTTTTGTGGCCCCCCTCTTCAGAGAGATACTACCTTTGGTGTTCCAGACAGGTACAAGGTCATCAGGATCGACCTCGTCCTTTGAGACCACCTCTGTTAGGGGCTCTGCTCTGTACTCGCCCCCTTCAACCTCTGCCAGCTTCTTCTCAACGTACTCCTTTGCAGGGGTGTCCTTGTCTTCCATCTGTCCGTATCTCTTCTCAAGCACCTGCCTCATCGAAGCCCACTCACTGGCAATTAGCGGCTTCGCTCTGTCTTGCACTTCATATTCTGCGTCCACCTCCGCCGCCTTCTGTGTCCTGGAGGTGGCATTGGCAAAGGCGCAGACCACCGCCGCCACCTGCACCCTCTCTCCCAGCGTCCTGGCTTGGTCGAGGTCCCAGTGGTCCTTCAGGACTTGGACCAAATCCTCACGATCCTTTGCCAGGGATGCTAACTTCTCAACCGTGGTGACTCCGTGGTGGAAAAAGAGCCTCTGGTTCCCTATTTCCACCCCTTGCTTCGCCAGGAGAAACTTCAGGTCGGCTCCTCCCGCTTGGTCTGCTGCCTCCTCCTGCTCCTGTGAGAGCACCACCCTCGGCATGCCCTCTCCCGGCTGGCGTGGCTCACACCAGACTTTGAACCGCTCCACGGCTGCAGAGTGACATGAGCTGTGCAACTGACCCTCCATCATGCTGCTAGCACGGTGTCCCTTCAACTGCACACGCAAGGCTCTGCAACTCATGTTCCTACCCCTGCCGCCTCGCCTCCGCTCTCCGTCGGGTAGAGATGCCGCCCACGGGGCTTGGACCCGGCTTCCCCCGCCTAACGCTGGGGGATGCAACCGAGAACTCATGACATGAAAGGGGGAGCACGGGGTATCCTACATGCCGGCAACATGTACCGCCCTTTCAACATCCTCCATGGACCAACCATGGCCCGCCGCCCGGCCGTGGGGCTCCCACGGACTTCCTCGACAGGGAGCGTCCCCATCAAACACCTGCCGTGGGGCTCCCACGGACTTCCCCCCAGGGAGCGTCCCGGGGCCCAATACGATGCACCCTTCACTGCCGCTTTTTCAGCCGTCAGTGACATCGGACAAATCTAATTCGTCTATTGAGTCGCTTGTGGACTCCTGTGCCTTCTCAGCCTCCTTCCTCCAGCACAGCTTGCACCACGTGGAATAGTGCTGAGTTCCTTGTGGATCTCGGCCTTGGTGAAACTACGCTTCTTTGCCATCCAGCACGCGTCAGGCCCCAGGAGGTGCAGCGTACCCCTTCCGGCTCTTTGATACACCACAACATAGCCTCCCTGCCTTTCTTCTGCAAGCTGCTGGAACTTCCTCTCCTTCGAGGGCCTTTCTTCCGCTTTCTTTGAAAACTCTCCTAACTCGGGCATCTTGCACTTGCCCTTTTTCTCCACCTTGGCCCTCTTGCCTTCGTTGGCAGCCTCCTGCTTCTTGTCGCTCTCTGACTCCGTGGTGGCGAGCTCGGTCTCCTCTCCACTGGGTTGCACGTCATCCACCGTCTCGGCAGCGGCCAAGACCTTAACCTTCTTCTTGAAGGCCTCCACTGCATTGTCCGCATCCCCCGGGTCTACCTCCCAATGGGTCACCATCCACTCCTTCATTTCTTCGAGGATGCTACCCTCGTCAAAGGTCGCGTAGGCTTTCCCGCTCCTCACCACCTTGACGAACTTCTTCTGCAGCCTTGCCACAGCTGCATTGTACGTTCTCACGTACTGGTCGCTGCCCTCAGGCAACCATCGCCCAATCAGGTCACGATCCGTCTTGCTGACACCCATGGCCGCCAAACAGCTGGGTAATGTGGAGCGTTCCGAATGCTCCGACCAGAAACGATCAAAGCCTTCCGGGAAGATCCTCTCCCCTTCATAGTCCTTCAGCGCTGTGATCACATCGCTGCTGGCCGCCGAGGCTTCATAGTATTTCATCGGCCCCATCCCAGTCTGTCCTGAGTCGAACGCGCCCTCATTGAAGACATACTCACCGTCTTCTCGCCACGTCCTCTTCACCAGGTTGTACCCAATCTCCAGCCATGAAGACTCAGCCACATAGGCATCCTCCCCAATGTACAAGGGGAGTTCTCTCACTCGTTTCCCTGCCCCTGTCGTCTTCGTCTTCTGCAAAGTGGCCGTGAACTTGCCGTCGTAGAACCTGATTGCTCGGACCTTCATGTTGGCCGCATCACTGAAGCGCAGGGCCCCCCAGAGCTTGACTAGCTTCATCCATGCAGCTACCCTCCGGCCCAGGGGAGCCCCACGATCCATCACCAAGCCCTCCATTGGGCCTATCATCATTGTCAGCCACCTTGGTGCCCTCTTGATCGGCTTCGTCTTGCTCTCAAGCTTCTTCACCAAGTCCTTCACCACCAGGTCCACTGCTTGACTGTCCGTGAGCCTTTGGCCCTCCGGGACGCCTGCCAACTGCTGAAACCAGGCGACAGCTCTAGAGACTGCCAATGGTATTGAGGCACCCATCCCCTCCTCTTCCCTCACGAAGAGGTAGTCGATGAAACTGGTTGGAGAGTTGGGCTGATGGTTCTCGCCCATGTAGCACCACTTCCTGAAGTGCTGCCAGCTCGCCAGATACCTCCGCAAGGTGGACGCTCTGTACTTCCCCATGAGGGATTTGAGCGCCCTCTCCGGCTGTGCTGAGTTCCCCAACTCCAGTAGAATTGGTGCCCCCATGTCCGTCAGCTCCTTGGTCAGGATCTGCAAAACTTTCTCTTCGGCCGCGTCCTCTGTCACTACACGTCCCGTCCTAAGCCGGACGCTCTTGCCCAGGGTTCCCCGCCTGGGGATGACTGGCGCCGCTGCGGCCTCTTCCATCTCGGCCTTGTGCTGCTCCTCGAGCTCCTTCGTTTGGGCCCAGGCCGCATCCATCATCCTCTGTTGAGGCACCGACATCACTGCACCCTGCAGCCTATTCTCCAGGTCCTCCATCTGCCTGGCTGACTCCACCTGCCCCTTCACGAAGTCCACCTGCCAGCTTTTGTATGGAATCCCCAGGTGCTCAGCCAGCTGCCGGGCCAGTGTCTCCTCAGTGCCCAGCGACACGGCCAATCGAGGACCTACAAGTCCAAGCCCCTCCAACGCTTGGAGCATTCGGACTGCGTCCTCTCCATGGCCTCCATCGCCAAGTATGGCGTCAGCCATTGCTCCACCCCTTCTACAAGCAATTTCACATGCCCAGGGGGGAACTTGAACCTAAAGACAACATCATGTGCAAAAACTCTGACATGACAAGTCATGAGCGAAATATATATAATATGGTCGAATTTGTATATGCCTATTCATTCCCTAGCTGACAAGAAGTGCAGCTCTGGCAACGCAGTCCCAGCCGCATCCACACCAGGAAGCATCTCAGCAACCTGCCAGAAACGACTGCACCAAAGCGATGTTCACCATTTTTCGTGTGGACATAAAAATATCAAAATTATTCAAAATAAAGCTGCTGTGCATTAAAACCCCAGTGAAAAAATCTTTTTTTTTCTTTCATAACCCGGGCTACGATTTGAAGTGTCACATGACAAGCAGAGTGTCACAATCCAACAACCGCAGTGCCGCGCCTTGGCGAGTGCGCCATCAGCACTTCCGCAGTCGCGCCAATTCTTCAGCAAACTTGGCGGCTCCACAGGGTGACTTGGAGGATGTGTTGTCTGAAAAAAACACATCAGGTTGTGGTCGTCTCTCACTTGTATCCTCCCGTGAGTCACTTTCACCTCCTTCACCGCGCATTTCGAAAAGAGCCCAAGTTGTTTCAGGTCTATTAAAAGTATCTGAAAGATTATTTTAAAGTATCACATCCAAAATATCTAAAACTGTTTGAATGTCTTTCTCAGCTTCTGACTTCAACGCTTCTTGGGCTTCGCGATGGTGGCCCCGTATGTGAAGCATGGCCTCGACAAGTCTTCATGACATGCGGCAAAGAGTTTGCTTTGCCCAAGCGATTCATTTTCATCGCCCTTCCTCCTCCTCCTCCTCAATCAATCATCAATCAATCATCATCAATCATCAATCAATCATCATCAATCATCAATCATGATGAATCATTATATAAAATATAAATCATCATGAATCATTAGTCATTGTCAATCATCATAAATCATCATAAGTCGTCATAAGTCATCTTGAGTCATCTTTCATTCCCCTTCACAAGTGACACCATGGGTAAAGCCGGGCGCTGTCACATGGGTAACCTGACAACTTGAGACCCCCGGCAGCGGCAAGGAGGTTGGAGCCAGGGAGCAGCTCTGCCAACTTCGTTAAGGCACCGTCCTGGGATGTCGAATCTGAAAGTAAGGCGACAAGGCAAAGCAAAACAAGTTGCGGGCAGTCCTTTGATATTTGAGCATATTTTTTCAATCATATCGAAACCTAAACTGAAGAGAAACTTCACATAATATCGTTTCATTTAACCTACTCGAACTGTCTACATGTTTCCAGTCTAAATTCTAAATAGCCAGAACAACTTGAAATGAGATTAATGTGGCCCAGCTTATTTCATGACATGGCGTTTTACTATTTTCTACTCTCATCCCATAACCAAACCATAGCCGCGGCCAGCGTCCTTGCTCAAGTGCTTTTGGAGAGAGAAAGCTCTGGCCCGTTCCTCTGCCTCTGTCCTTGGAGTCGCTTGGAGTTTTTTGGAGTGCGAAATGTGCGAAATCATCGGAGAATCCGCAAAAATCTCAGGAGCCGACTGGCCTCTGTACTTGTGGAGGCACACGAGACCATCAGCCAAGAGTGGGACGTGCTCTCCAGCCTGAGAACACGATGATGTAAAAAAGCGTGAAGCACAACCGATTGACAGATCGAGTTCTCTCGATCCTCAATAAGGCACTTAAATCATCTTAAATCACTTGAGAAACAGAGCGGCACATGGCTGTTCATGGCTGTTCTAGTTCTTCCTGGCCTTTGCCAGCAAGCTGTTCGCACCTCAGCTCCAACACTGGTCCAACACTGCACAAATCGCATCAAATCGCCACAACGACCAAAATCTGCGGTGAAGACCCAAGGCATGAGTCTGCCAAGTCTGCCAACGCCGCCCAGCCTCACAGCATCTCACAGCCAATTCAATCTGCTGTTGCAGTACTTGAAATACTCGAAGCATCAGCCCTGGGATGCCCTATGAGATGAAAGGTTTGGAGTTTGACTTTTTTGAAAGATCTCTACACTGATTCCATCGGCACAGCTGGCAGGAGCAATCCTTTTTGCGGTCAAGCTGAGTCAAGTGTCAAGGTGTTCTTTCAGAACACTGCACTGTGCATCATGGCACTGCAGTGCAATCTTCCACCTGTGACTTGTCGACGTGCCCTCCATTGAGTGGCACTCTGTCACAGATCTCAGATCTCAGCTCATGATCCCGCCTCACACCAGTTGGAATGTATTTTTTTCAGGGCTTTTCTGAAGCTTTTCTGATGCTTTTCTCTTGCAAATTTGATTTTGAGAACCCCAACTTGAAACTAGCGTAACTAGCTCATAGCAAAGATAGCAAAGAGTGCGTAGGTTGCAGAGGAAATGGATGGAAATGGAGTAAATGGAGAACTGCAGCAAGAATCCCACTGGATCGGATTGTTGGTGTCGGTGGTGTCGGTGGTGTCGGTGGTGTCGGTGGTGTCGGTGGTGTCGGTGCCATTGTTGGTGGATGAAAGATGATGAAAGATGATGAAAGATGATGAAAGGGCGAGGGATAACTCGCAATGTATCTGCTTTACAGAGGATATCCAAGGATTGAAGATACCGTTTCTGACCTCATTTCTGACCCCTGACAAATCCGGCAACCTTCGTTTTTCACGACAATGCATGACAATATTACAATATACTACACAAGATTGAACTTCACTTTTTCCTGATGATTCAATATCAATATCGACAATTATCGAAATATATTAAGAAATAAAGTATAACAAAACTGTAACAAAACAAGTTGAATATATGTCGAAAATGTCGAAAATATCCAGATCTCTCGAACATGTCGGTAACATGTCGTGTTTTTTGTTTCACACCTCGGCAGGCTGTGGTGGCTGCTCAGCTGGAGCTGGAGCCCCACGATCCTGACAGAAACTGAAACCAGGAGCCATTCAAAAGAGCCATTCAAAAGAGCCATTTCTTTGCGTTCTTTTGATCAAAAAAATGGCTCTGCAATGCTCTGCATATTGATGTTGATAGAAATTTGAGTGATTGAATGTCGATTTATCGATTTGGATCAATTCTGAATTTTGATCTGGGAATTCCACCCATCAATCTTGCCCTTTTGTGACGCATTTGTGACGCATTTGTGACGCATTTGTGACGCATTTGTGACGCATTTGCTCCCCTGCCGTTGGCTTCCGGGTCGATTGGTTCAAAACAACCCCTCGGATTTGCTCCGTTGTTGGCTGCTTGACCATTTGCCTAGTGGGCTGTGTTGCCGTGCCCACGGGCTTGCCATCGGCGTTGCCGCTGGCTTTGCCTGCTACTATTGAGGCGGGTGGTTGTTGCTGGCGATTTGGTTGACTTGTCCCAGATCTGCGCTCCACTTGCTCTTTACGGGTTTGATTTTCACTGAACTGCTGCGCGCTGGTGATATTTCTTGGTATTTTGGACTGGTGGGTATCGCTTCGGATCTTTTTGGATTTGTAATTCATTATTTCTGGCTCTGCGGTGGCCCACTACCGGACAATTTACAATATTGCAATTATTTCCGCTTTGATTATTTGGAATCTGTGCTCAACTGGTACGCCCTGGCACTGTGGCCAAATTTTCTCAGGGGTATTTTGATTTATGTGCTCGATTCTATTGCTGTTCTTGATTTTGACAGTGATATTTAATTTTCTGCACGATTTTTCGTGTCCCTACATCGTGGAAGCGGAGATTGCGCCGACTCCGTGCAGCAGCGAGGCGAGCTTGGTTTTTACACCGGAAAGGGATTGTACTACTAAGCAAACCAGCCCTGTCACGAATCAGGCATACTCTGTCAACCCATCACTCAAGAGACCCGAAATTTATCGCCAAGATAGACAAAGAAATGGCTACACCTTTGGAAAGTTATCCTTGGCGTTGCCTTCAGTGCTGGAGGTTGAACAAGAAATCTCATATGAAGTGTCCGAACTGCCATGCCCACTGGAGTTCGGGAGAGAAGCACAATACAGAACCCAAAGCTGCGCAGGCTACCAGCTACCGGTCGGAATGGTCTGGGTGGGACGAAGGTTGGGAGGAGAGTCGGAGATGGTCTTCCAGATCCCCCAGCCGACATTATTTCGAACGGGATGGAACCCAATCAGTGCAATCCCCCAGACAACGTGCCAAAGGGAAGGGCAAGAAAGGAAAGGAGGGAAAGACCAGCGGGAAGGAGCCTGTTGGCGAAACTACCTCACCTTTCCAAACCCCTTCTGCGACTGGTTTCGAGACTTGGCAAGCTTTGGATTCCACGGGTTTTATGCCCGCAACCGCAAGTGTTGCAAGCCCATTTCAGGTCACGAATGCGGATGGTGGACTGCAGGAAATGGCACAAGCCTTGCGAAGGGCCTACCCAGATATTACCAAAACCCCAGACGATGTGAAGGCTTTATTGGAGAAAGCCGACAAGGAGGCCGGCCGACTTGGCCTGAAAAACCTCCAACAGGCGGCGAAGCATTTAGACAAAGCCAAGAAGCACCTCAAGGAGGTCAACGACCAGAGAAAAGCGCATCGCGCAAGGTGGTTGCAACACGTGACAGAAGGTGTTACAATGTGGGAGCGCCAGTTAGAAGAATATCGACGCCACCAAGCCACCTTGACGGATTTGGCTACACGAACGCAAACCGAAATCTCTACCACGAGTCGCACAATTCAGATTCTAGGAGCGGCAGGAACCGGGTCCGCATTGCCGGCGATTCCAGTGCCAGAAGCTCCGGACACCATAGACTTGGAAGATACGGATCAAGAGGAAGAACAGCTCAGGCAAAGTTACAAACCATTTTGAGATCCTGTGCACATTCCTTAGGAATCTCGCCAGATGCGCCTCCTCACCATGCAGAAGGGTTACCAGATGCAGCTGGGAAGGGCGACGAGAAGCAAGAGGAAAAGCCCCCCAAAAGGCAGCGGTCGCTCGAGCCCTTAGGTGCGCAGGCTACACCCTCTTCCTGAGGGACGGCCGTGATTGCGGAGTTCAGTGGAATCCCTTTCATGAGGCCAGGGATATAGACATCCATGGAGGATCCGTTGAGGCCTATCATTTCAGTGATTTGCTGAATGGTGCAGCATGCGGAACTCAGGATGCACTTTTCAATTTGAGTTTGTCATGGCATCACTCTGTCAGGCAAGAGGCTAATTTCAAAGATCCATTCCAAGCATCACATGATGCGTGTCGACTACGATGGGAGGTACTCCAAGATCTTAGTTTCTACAACTTTAATATACCTAATCCTCTGTCGAAGTTTTCAGTTTCCTATGCCCATGCTTGCATTTCTCAAGAACTCCATCGTAACCACAAAGGGTTGTGCGTGAACTTTGCGGATTGTATTGAAGTGCATATTGGAGAAGAAGATTCTGATCATTTTGCCAGTTTTATGATGAAACATGATTAGATTTGCGGCTGGTCCGGAAAGCCTTGGAGCAATCGAAGAATTGCCAAAGGACATCGATTTTGCCCGCCAACTGTTGATCCTATCCTGGAAGCTGCCCCGGGTTTTTACATTCCGTGTTTTGCCCTTGAATCATTTGCCTTAGATTTGCCTGATTCTGTTGGTCAGGAACCGCTGTCCGAATGGGCCGTGTTGAGCCGACCTTCAGATCCATTACAAAACGATGATTCCACCACCTTTATGCAAATCTCTGCTAGAGATATCCATACATGCAAACATGATGATTTTGAACCACATGAGACTGCCTTGATTTCGGCGTTATCACAAGGTACTGCAGACACAGTTACCCAAGCCATGCAAGATGAATCTGACCACGACCGTTCCGCGCCGAGTAGTAGTGGTCCTGTTACATCTTCCCACTCACCTGTAATGCAGTCGCCATCGGAATCAGCTGCCAGACAAGATGTTATCATTTTTCATTTGCAAGACCCCCCCATACGTGCTTTTCTTGACTGGGGTGATTATGAGTCTATGATGACTGAACTCGCCCATCATTTCGCTGTGCACAGGCAGGGAGTTGTTGATGCTTATGAAATTGCTATCCCTCTTTCTGGAATGCCACCTGATGTTTACCCAATCATCGCGCAATTGCTACCTGACATTGCTCTTGGTCAGGATGCTAAACTTGTGCTTTTTGATTTGGAGCTGCATGGGCATAAAGTTGAACCACATTTCCGTCTTGGCCCAATCACACGTCGATTTGTCTTGCCAGTTCCTCTCAGGGCTGACCGTAACGGTATTTTGACATTAGCCAATGTTGACAAGTATTGCCATGCTGAAGGAGGACGCTGCCTAGTCTTCTTTAATGACGTACGCTGGCCTGATTATGATTTGGACTTTCGGCCTTTCTCGCACGGGGATGCCATCCGGATTGCTATTCCCCCTTCAGATAGAATTGAATGTCCAACTGATCAGGTTGTGAGATGGACACAGCGGGATTTTACAGAATTGGACATCATGCGGTTGATGAATGAAAATGCCCCTTCGGAGGGTTACTCTCCTAGTTTATTAGGCGATGAGGAAGTACGTTCCCTTGCAACTCCAGCTTGGTTTGCATTGTCTGATAATGAGGAAGAGGATTTTTCAGCCATGCAGCGTCAGCCTGCCAATCCTGCTGCTGACACTGTCCATGTAGAAACCGCTAATGATAGTAGAAGCAATGAAATCCCACAAGACTGGTTTATCGATTTGCAGCGGGTTGTCTCACAGCATGTCAACAGTTGCCCAGAGGATGGGGAAGATGAGTTTCTTTTCTCAATCTACACGTGGTTTCTTGACCATGAGGAGAGTCGTCTATGTAACAATCCCAAGATAGTGGTTTTGGGGGGCTTGCCATCAGAATGGGAAGAAGATGTCTTGCATCCGTGGAGGTAACAAATAGATGCGGATGAACGTCCCCTCTTAAGCCTTGTTGCGCCTTTTTCACCACGTGCAGATGTAGAAGAACATATCGCCCACATCATCATCACCCAAAGGCCTAGTGCTTTGGTTTCTATCTTGGTTTCCA